GTGTGTGATAAAAGTTTGACGTACAAAACCGAAATACTGTGTTCTTATTGACTGAGTGGTAGGGCCGGAAGGAAAATTATTTGGCTCGGGGTCATGACCTATGGACCGAGCGCAGCGAGGCTCAAGCTTCATCACCCAGAGCCAAATATTTTCTCCCCTGGCCCCACTAAATTCGGTCATTAAGCATTATATCATATGACCGCTGACCGTTTTCAACGTTAATGGGAAGCGATAGACGGGCATACGAACGCACAAAAAATATGCAATTTTATTTCGAGTAGCCTAGAGCGGGAGGGGAATAACCGAAAACACACGTGATCTAGATACCTAAAACGCCGTGACAGTGGAAGTTCGGAAGGTTGAGAAAAGTGCAGAGTGTAATTCATTATTTTTGTTGTTTCGTTTTGAAAGCATCAGCCACATTGTCAACATCTTGGTAAGTCCGATTGAAAATCTTTCCGATTCACTCGGTTTTTCTCAGCCTTAGTCATTTAGTAACTGTAGAGAGGTAAGGCTCTCATGGCAAAGCCCAGTAGCTGCTTTTTCGAGCTTTGTTTTTGCAATATGTAGTTATGTCTCGTTTCGAGCGTTATCCCTTCATTAAAGCGGTTGATGGCGCGATTGAATTGCCACCACAGTGAAATAAATTCGTTATCCAGCGGTCTTCTCAAATCTCTGTAGCTTTATACCGTTTAATTTATCCTCATTAACTAATGTTATTGAGTATCGTTCAATTTGAGAAACTGATAATCATAAACTAAAATCAGACCTTTATTTATGTTGTGGACTGTCCCTCGCTGAAGGAAATCCGTGGTGGTTGATCACGTGGTTTTCCAGTGCCGGGCTATGACTCTACATCAGCTATCAACTTGAATCTGTTTAGGAGGGTTGAACGAACGATTCAGAGATGGCGCTAGATTCGAGATGCCATATTTCTACTTGTACACAAGCGTTTCATTGTCGAAATACCCTTCACTTAAACCTTTGGATGCTAACGGCGGGTTCTGCGGTACATATTTTTCTAAAGCCGTAATCTGTTTCTTTTTTTTCCGTTTAAGCCCCAGAGTCTCGTACAGGAAGATAAGTTGTGAGAATGCGCGCTCACGAAGAGAGATGTTTTAATTTTCTCAGAGGAGTGAAACTTTCTTAAATTTACCATTATTGCATTCATAGTATAAGCGTATCTTACCGTTGAACGGATGCTTTATATCTCCACCGTTAAATTTCTTCCTTCAAACCGTTAAGGTTTTATACAATATTTTTCAATCTCAGTAGTTAAGATATTGTTAGGCATTGTTTAATTTGAGAAACTGATGGTTTCAACAACACGTGATCAAAAACTAAAACCAATCCCATATAAAGATACATTCATAATGCAGAATGTCATTTACTGATCAGTGTCAGCAAAGGTGGTCCAAGGTCACGTCTCGAGAAAAAGCAAACGATTAATTCATGAAAGCGTCACGGGTTGTGTGACTTATGTGTTAAGTTATGAGCGTTGTACACGTTATTAAGAATAGAATGGGGAGCGAAATATGGTGGATTTATCACGAGAAATATTTCGAGAAATCAACATTTAACACGTAAAATCAATAAAAGTACACACATCTTGTGTGTCCATATTAGTTTCTGGCGATTTCTGCCGTTTTAAGCTTACTTTGCCATTACTGTTATTCCCATCCCCACAGTGACACCTCGCATTAATCGAGCGTCCCAATCAACCAAGCGGCAGCTGTCCCCGTGATAGGTCTGCAATTCCTGATCCATAATAGGAATGCACGGTAGAAGCGGCACCAGGATCGTGCATGCTATACCACTGGAAATACCACAGAAACCTTTTTCCAGCCGCTCGAAAATTGTGAAAATTATGGGGAACGAGTTGTCACAGGAAGAAAAATTATGAAATAACATAATGAACATCACTTGACGATCTGCGTGCTCAAGGAATTGGCTGAACTAATAGAAATTTTATTGTCCTTTACAAAGAATTTCCGGTGACTAAATAGACATTAACACCAACATAACTGTAAGGGGGGTAGATTAAGGGTAATTCGGCCAAATCTTACAGGCTTTTCTTTTTATCCAGAAGTTTAGTGACATCACCTTGGAAAGGTAAATGCAATCGACGTTAGGGCATCATGTGGACAATTATATTTACTATATTCGTTTTCAGGGACATTCATCTGATAAATGCGCTCAATGCTTTTAAAATGAACAATCTTTGTAAATGTTGCCATATTGCCGAATGTCAATAACTTACATCTGTGATCATCTCGGTAATGAACCAAAAGAACGGTGTTTCAATAAAATCGAGCGAGGGAATTTCCAGTACAAACATTTTGGACGGTACATTATTTAAACTGTCGAATAGTTCTCGAGAAAACTAGAGCAATTTTCTCATTAATCATTCTTGTATTATTCATGAATAAGAAATAAAATACAGTGATCCTAAGGGTCTGCATTGCAAATACGTTTTGACAGCCGGTATAACAAAATCAATAAACTAAGAATGGTGAAACTAGAACTTATATTGTAGACTATTACTTTCTGATTTCTTTTGATTTCCATGGATTTTTCATTAGCTGAATTTGCATTTTTTCTTGTCTTTTTTGTTTGTTTTTAATCAAAGCGAATAATGCCTCAAAAATAAATCAGCGAGTCAGGCTATGACACATGGTAGGAGTTTGTTTCCTTTGAGAAAAGGTAGCTTCCTTACCTCACAATACATGATATAACCAAGCCTCTTATTCTTCAATCTTCTTCATTGATTGAATCAATGAGCTTCATTATCAATTAAGAAGGGGCTCTCTTTTCCCATTTCTTTTCTGTTTCCGGTTTCCTAATTATCTGCCTTAAAAAAAGTTAAGACACTGGGAAGAGAAATTTTGTGAGTTTCCTCATGCGATTAGAAAGACCAGAAGTTCTAGTTCGATCACAAATCCTGTTACAAATTCTTAGTAACAATGAAACTTTTTGAGACGACCTCTAAGCTTGATATCAAATGATTTTCAAATATGAATGTAGTTTAAGTCAGGCACAACTGTCTATCACTTAAGTAAAATGTGAACATAGATAGAAAAAGCTGAATATTGCAACAAAAACTCTTAGAAATTAATTTTTTTAAGCCATTCTCATTTGGTATCCATTTGTTTATAACCTGTATGAGCTTTCTTAACATTGATTTATTATATTCCAATTGTAACTGTTTTAAAACTACAATTAATTCCATTATCATTCCTTTAAGCCCATTTGCGGATATTCTTTAAGTTCTCTTTGAAGTTTGTAAGACTTTTCACTAATCTTCAGACTGCTCCAACATAGAGGATGTACATAATAAATTTTTGGCTTTTAACGTTCACTCACAAAAAGATGAAAGACAGAAATCGGTAGGAATATGATTCAACCTAAGGGCAAAATGTTTCTTTTACATTACGTGACGAGATCAAGGAAGCAAAAAACCGAGATCAAAGTATAATATATAGATTATTGATGATATAATATATAGATTATTGATGGGCTACTACTATTTTGCATAATTATGGGGCTACGCTCTGCGAGCTCCGCTACTATTTACGACAGTGATCCAGTGAGTTAAGTCTAGTTTCTACGGTTCGCTTACCTGCGAGTTAACAAAGTTGATGCACTTCAACACAGAAGCTGAGTCAGTCCAGGTCTGCTGTCATTGCCAATTCTTCTCGAATAATTCTGGAGAGCCTTACGCAGATAACACTGACTGTCAGTTCCAATATTGGAATTGAAATTTCATGTATGGGACTTGCTTTTTCCATGACAAATGCATAGTGAACTTGGTTAATGACATTTTTCAAACGGAAGTAAACGACGGCTGAAATTCATTACGATGGCCAATTTACATTGTCAACTCAGTTGGTAAAGCCAAATAGTTTTTTAATACCCCACCAAAGTTTCTTCAAAACCTTACCCCGTTGATTAATAATGGTAATTGCACTGAGTGGAGTGCAATTTGGGCTGAAATCATACGTCTGATTTCAAAATTGCACGACACGAGGTTCAATTACCACTTTATTACATCCAATTTTGAAATCGCCCAAATGCAGGACATGGTCAGTTCAAATATTTTGTTGATGCAGTACTGAGCCGGTCTGAAATTAAATTCATGTCCATTTTTGGGGGCGGAATGTAAGAGTTAAGAAAAAAAGTTGCAAAATTTGCCACATGATACTCCTTGTCTTTCATTTTCCTGCAATTTGATCGGTTACTTTAAAAGCCTTAAAATCTGATTGGTTGTTATGTTTTTAGTGTAGCCTTCTCATTGGCTGGGAAAAAGATGCGATTTAAAGCAAAAAATGGTGCGATTCGTGAATAAATCGCATCAATTAGAGCCAATCAGATTACAAGGACCACCAGTGATTTCAAAATGGGTGTGTTGAAAACTGGACCGAGAGTGTCACGTGGATTTTTGTATGTTTCTTACCCCCCACGAATTGAACTTTGAACTCTTGATAAAAACTCAAAAAAGGGAAAATGAAAAGGAATGCGTGAAAGCTGTCTTGTATATTGTTATTCTGGAATACAGTCTGTGTTCGAAGTTGTCCTGTTGTATACGTTTTATACAGGGTGTAATAAATGTTGTTTATAGAAACTATGCATGTGGAAAGTTCTCATTGCAAAAGTTAAGATAAAGTCTGTCAGTTTTTTTTATCTTTGTCCAATGACTTTAAAGTCATGTAATGTTCTGCAAAAATCACAACTTGAGTAAAATGAAAGGTGACCAACCGCCTTCTTCACCTTTTCTTTTTTTTGTTTTTAAGTGGATATTGGGAATTCTAACACTTTCAGCTTGTTACAAATAGTTTCCGGGTGTAATCGACCCAGACCAATTTTGCAACTTAACATGTGTGTTCCTGTTTGAAGTGACTCGTTATTAATCCAGATTATCGACCATTTAGTACTGTGTCATTAAAAATAATGTTTCCCTGATAACAGGAGAGGATTGCAATGGAAACCTAACAGCAGAAGCCATGACACCTTTCATCAGCATCGCCTTACTTGTTGCCCTGTTCTTGCTCAACTCAGATCGCATTCAGAAAGCCATTGAGATATGCAGCGAATGTTTGATTTTGCTAAATGGCACCGATCAAAATAACAAAGACCAATTTTATTCAGCACTGCTACAATTTTACAGCGACATCTATAACATTCTTTTCAGCGCTTATTGTCATATCTCTGACTACATAAGTGCGGAAAGATACGGGAGGAAACTGTTTAACTTATACAGTGAGTCTACAATTATGCTTTATGAAATTGGCGAAAGCCTAAAAGCAAAGGAATATATTGAGAGGGCCCTTACCATAACAACCAAAATTGGCGACAGAAGCGGAGAAGCATCATGTTATGGAAACCTAGGTACTGTGTTTGGGTCGCTTGGCCAATACGACAAGGCTGAAGAGTATCTCCAAAAAGCGCTTGTCATCACAAATGAAATTGGCGACAGAGGAGGGGAAGCATCATGTTATGGAAACCTAGGTACTGTGTTTAAGTCGCTTGGCCAATACGACAAGGCTAAAGAGTATCTCCAAAAAGCGCTTGTCATAAGAACTGAAATTGGCGACAGAGAAGGGGAGGCAACTGACTACGGAAACCTAGGTACTGTGTTTCGGTCCGTTGGCCAATACGACAAGGCTGAAGAGTATCTCCAAAAAGCGCTTGTCATCACAACTGAAATTGGAGACAGAAAAGGGGAGGCAACTGACTGCGGAAACCTAGGTACTGTGTTTCTGTCCGTTGGCCAATACGACAAGGCTGAAGAGTATCTCCAAAAAGCGCTTGTCATCAGAACTGAAATTGGCGACAGAGAAGGGGAGGCAACTGACTACGGAAACCTAGGTACTGTGTTTAAGTCGCTTGGCCAATATGACAAGGCTGAAGAGTATCTCCAAAAAGCGCTTGTCATCAGAACTGAAATTGGCGACAGAGAAGGGGAAGCCACTGACTACAGCAACCTAGGTACTGTGTTTAAGTTGCTTGGCCAATACGACAAGGCTGAGGAGTATCTTCAAAAAGCACTTGTCATCGCAACTGAAATTGGCGACAGAGGAGGGGAAGCATCATTTTATGGAAACCTAGGTACTGTGTTTGAGTCGCTTGGCCAATACGACAAGGCTGAAGAGTATCTCCAAAAAGCGCTTGTCATCACAACTGAAATTGGCGACAGAAAAGGGGAGGCAACTAACTACGGAAACCTAGGTACTGTGTTTGAGTCGCTTGGCCAATACGACAAGGCTAAAGTGTATTTCCAAAAAGCACTTGCCATCGCAACTGAAATTGGTGATAAGGAAGGGGAAGCAGCAGCTCTTGGAAAGCTTGGAATTGTGTTTAAAACTGTTGGTGATTTTGAAGCTTCGGAAGTATGCTTGGAGAAAGCTTTATTCATATCCAGAGATATTGGAGATAGAAGAAGAGAGTTTGAAATCCTCGTATGTTACGCCGTTTTGTATTTACATCAATATAAAATCAAAGACTCCCTTTCGTGTCTTCATCTGTGCATTGAAAAGTATGAGGAGCTGAGATATTTCTTGGGCGCTAATGATCAGTTCAAAACATCATTTCTGGAGGACATAGGAATATTCCCCTACAAGCTGCTTTGTACTTTGCTTTGTGACACCGGAAATGCTCGGGATGCTCTTTATGTTGAGGAGTTGGGTCGAGCTAGAGGCCTATCAGACTTAATGGCAGAGAAGTACTCGGTTGAAACGCACATTTCTACTAATCCACAATCTTGGTTTGGCATTGAGAACATTTTAAGAAAGAAAAATAACTGTACTTGTCTGTACATTTCTTATTTTCAGAATCGTCTGCATTTGTGGATCTTGAAAACAAGTGGAGTCCTTCACTATAGAAGAGTATCACCAGAGAATCTAGTTCAGGCTGGGTTGCCCAAAGATTTGTCTTTGAGTCAATTTTTGGATGATAATTTCCGGAGTCTTGGTATTTTGCCCACTAAAGATTGTGAAGATCGGTCCTTAAATACGATTAAATTGGAACCTCTCTCCCCCGCACAAAAGAGCGCAGCAAGATTGCGACTCGTGGAGGAGGACGAGGACGAGGACGAGGACGAGAAAGTGATTTCAAGTCTATCTTTTTGTTACAAAATGTTTATTGCCCCCGTTAATGATTTGCTTGAGGAGCCTGAATTCGAAGTCATTATTGTTCCTGACCGCAGATTGTACAAAGTTCCCTTTGCTGCCCTGAGTGAAAAGGAGGGAGCCGAATACTTGTCAGAGACTCATAAGATCCGTATCATTCCTTCGTTGACAACACTCAAGAACATTCAAGATAGTCCAGAGGACTATCACAGCAACACTGGTGCCTTGATAATAGGCAATCCCAAGGTTAATTGGCTGCAACCATTGCCAGGTGCAAGAAAGGAAGCGGAGATGGTCGGACGATTGGTGGGTGTTCCGCCTCTAGTTGAAGAGAAAGCAACGAAGCAGGCGGTACTTGAGCGGATAAGTTCAGTGAGCTTGATACATTTTGCTGCCCATGGTAACGCGGAAAGAGGAGAAATTGCACTCTCCCCCATTCCTACTCCCAACAGTCAAAAAGCTACCCCACCGAAGGAAGCTTACATGTTGACGATGGCTGATGTCTCACGAGTGAAAGTCAGAGCTAAACTGGTGGTACTTAGCTGCTGTCACAGTGGAAGTGGAGAGATAAAAGCCGAGGGAGTTATAGGAATTGCCCGTGCGTTCTTAGGATCCGGTGCTCGCTCGGTGTTGGTTGCGCTGTGGGCCATTCCAGACTCAGCAACAGAGCAGCTAATGAGCCGGTTCTACGAACACCTCATTGAAGGAAGAAGTGCCAGTGAATCCCTTCATCAGGCCACGAAGTGGATGAGAAAAAACGGCTTGAACAAAATATCTGAGTGGGCTTCGTTTACGCTGATTGGAGATGATGTGAGACTCGAGTTTGACAAGCAGCGGCAAGACTCGGTGAGAACAGGTATTTCATAAATTAAAGTTAAATTAGATGTGAGGATGGTTATGACTTACTGGTCGGATGGGGATCCTTTGTTAGATTGAACATAAGGGCTAATTTAATATATGTCTATATATATATATATATATATATATATACACACACTTTTTTTTCCTTTTTGAAGAGTTACTATCTCCGCTCTCTGGTGTAAAGTATAGAATCTCACAGAAGCCTCTCTACCAATGAGATACAAGTAATAGCCAATTATTTATATATATTGTGCTTGGTGTAATTGTGTTTGCTTTACATCCAAAATATTAATTGAGGTAATAATATATTGGGTTATTTAAAATTTTTTTCTTGCAGGAAAAAAGACCCCGATAGAGTAAATAATGACAAGTACTCGAAGGGAACAGAGTTAAAAGACTTTTAGATGGATAAATTAAATAGAAATGAGTAGAGAAAATACTCTATCCGGTATTTCATCGACATTAAAGAATAGAGAATTCTTAGAATAAGGTTTTGACAAACGTATCTCTGGAGTTATTTTCTGCGGGAGAGACTGATACTTAAAAAAAAAATAGCGCGCACACTTGAAAATATTACCTTTTGTAACGCAATCTCATCCGGCTTTACCAAACCTCAAGAACATACAGATGGGGAAATGACACCTTAAAGCTAACCCTTAATATCACATCGCAAACGGATGTCATTAAAGGATATCCTAATATCAGCTAAGCTTTTAGGTTTGAAGATTTAAAAATGCAAGCGAATGGCAGGAGTCGCTCAAGCTATCAACATCTTTTAACGATCGACTGCATTTTGCTTTCCGGCCTACCTGGTGTGTCGCCGTGCGCATTGTAGAGTTATTCATTGGTCAAGTGATTCCGTTCATTGCTCAAATTCAACTGTCCTTCATTCAATGATCAAGATAGTAGATTTACCATACAACACCCGCGATAAGTTAATTTCCTTTTACTTAGGAAAGTAGATTTCTGTGTAACGCAACAAGCCTTTTCTCGGCCATAATCGGTCTCAAACACCCGCACTTAAAATACGAGAAACACATGTACCGTTGGAGAGCGTTTGAGAGCGTTTGGTCAGAGCTGTTGAATAAGGATCAAAGCAGCCATCCAAATCTTTGAAAGGCTCCAAACTACGACGTACATCAAATTTGACCCTCTTGAAATCCGGTCTCAAATTACATACAAAAAACAGTGATCGCGTTTGTCCTTGAGAACCATAGAATACGCAACAAATACGAACAAAAAATACTTTAACACATTCTGAATAAGTCAAATTACATTTACCTATGGTGAAAGGAAAAGGAACGGCCTAACTTTTACGGAATGTTCAGTCAAAATCTGCCGAATTCTGCTACTTTCACCGCCATATTGAAAATGAAGCTACCACAATGCAACGGGAGTCACTACATCACGGGCGACGAGTGAGGCAAGAAAAGATCAAAATACGAGTAATCAGCGGGGAAACAAATTCAATACTTCATGTAGAGACATATCAGTTATAGTTGCGGGAAAAAATAGTGTTGTAATGCCGAAATATTAACAGTATACTTCGCTAAATAAATGCTAAGCAATTTTTCAAAAGTGTTTATGGCACATATATCTTTTACTGCTGTAATAAACAATGGAGGCATCGGGAAAGGCATCGGTGGCATCCGGAACGGCACCAAGAAGAATTATATTTACGTTTTGTAACTTGATGCGTGACGTGCGTGACGTGCATGACGTGTGTGACGTGCGTGACGTGCGTGACGTGCGTGACGTGCGTGATGGAAAAAGAAAACCAAAATCGTGGTCCCCAAATGAATTCTCCCACCTTGCCCCAAAAAATTTTCAAATTTTTCGCAACTTTCCCTGTTCCTATTCGTAAGTCTGGCCAAGCCTCTATGGTCATTGGCCCCCGTATAGCCGCTAACTATGGCTTATAAATACAGGTCTACGACAGTAAGACGAAACGCGTCGGAGAATAAAGAAATTTTACAACTTGGGTATCGTTTTCTCTTTTTTTTCTAATGCATTCAGCCGCTTATGTTTACATAAGATAATTGACTAAATCGACTGATCCCACGGCTCGTGTTTCACATCAGATCGTAAACAGTCGTGGAGTACCAATTGCGTCACGAAAACCCACTTACTCATGCTCGGGCTAGGTCGTCTTCGCTTTTCACAGCAGATGCAGTTTTTTTCGATAAAAGTTAGACGCTAAGTGTTCAATGGCTGTTTCGTTTCTCCCTTTGTAATTGAGCCTCGGTATTCGGTGAAGCATTTTCATGCGAACTTAGCATCTTTACTAAAAAGTTCCGAATTTGACTCAACTGTGTTATCGTCAACCGCGCTCCTTTAATAATTTTTATTTTTACGTAATTCTATTTGCAAGCTTTTTGTCAATGTTCTTTTCAATCACAACACAGCATTCCTCAGTAACGATAAAGATAAACATCTATTTCGTTCCAATTCTACCGCATTTATTATAGCAAGTCGTACAGTATACACAAGAATGAAATGCGAACAAACTACCGAATTCGAACTATTGAAATTGTTGCCATAAATCCTTGCTTCCTCTGATGTGAAACGTCACAATAATAGTGGAGACTATTACGTCCAGTCTAAAGCCTGGTTCACATATGATCACAGACGATCTCCAGCGATCGTCACCGATTATATGTGAACAGCTCTGCGATCGTGTGCGATCGCGATCGCAGGCGAAGAACCATGGTCTATTCGTGCGATCGTCTCCGATTATATGTGAACAGCTGTGCGATCGAGTGCGATCGCGATCGCAGGCGATCGCAGGAATAGAACCATGTTCTATTCGTGCGATTGGTTGCGATCGGTTGCGATCGTCTGCGATCGAGTGCGATCATATATGAACAAAGTTCTGCGATTATGCGATTGGAATGTGTCCCATAATACTATGTTTTCCCAGCGTGCAGCACTGTAAGCGGCATGATACCATGACAACCAGTTGTTTATCAACTTTTACACTTGCGTGTGTTCTGACAAGATGGAAGGTGAAATTGACACGGAACAGTTTATGGAAGAAATTAGAAAATACAATTGTTTGTTCGAACGCGTTAGCAAAGACTTCAAAGACAAGTTCAAGAAGATTAACGCCTAGTCCAAAGTAGGCGAAGTTTTCAGCATTTTCCCAGCAGCTGCTGCGATCAAATGTGAACATGTGATTCGCGATCTTCGTGCGATCACCTGCGATCGTCTGTGATCGTCTGCGATTATAGGTGAACCAGGCTAATAAAATAACTTTAAACAGTACGAGTCGTTCGTAAAGCCTATTTTAGGTTATTGTAAATCGACTCGCCCGAACACTAACTAGACAAAAAAACCTTAAGTGACTGTTAGTTTAACTTATTTTTAATCATTAGGAGTAAAAAAAAACACAAATGCGACTGGATGTAAATTTTAGTGTGCGTTCTCGGCTTACGAACAATAGAAAAAGTCTCATTGTAACAGTAGAGGGTGGAGCAACAGAATTTCGTTGTGGAACACAAACAGTGGATTCCCGATTTTTCAAATCTCCATGGGAAATGAAAATCAGATGAAGTACTTGGGTAGGCTAGGGGAAGGGGAACGACTAGTTTTTCGTTTTTTTTAAGCAGGAAAATGCGTACTCAACTACTCATATTCGTATCTGCTGCAACCTACAATAGGTACATTATTAATTAAGCATGAGTTGACCGACGTTTGTGAGCATGTATTTGAGGGTCGGTCCTGCGGACGTGTACCATTTCTTCGTTAACTCCAATGCCGCCTTCCAAGCGAAGGGGAAAGAAGAGACTCTAAATGAAGAGACTTTAAATTTTAAAGGGTCACTTAACAGTTTTACATGGAACTGTTCGTATTGAAGATTGATTCATTACGAAGACGTTTCAAACGACGTTTATACGCTCCTTCTAACTCTTCACAATCATATCAGCTCTCACATCACGCGCTTACCTAAACATCAACAGCTTTTGTTTGAATCTGTCATCAACTTCCTGTAATAACTGCCTTTACACACACACGTTAATAAGAAAAATTCCAAAAAGTTTCCCACGGCGCCAAGGCACGCTTAATACCCGAATTTTTTTAAAACCTACGCCAAAACATAAACAACTATGCACTGTTATCATTTTTTTAAACGGATCCTTATTGTCTGCTGAACAAAAGATAGTCGGCACCCCTTACTTCTGTTGCATAAACCAATTATCGTACCTAAAACAATGGTTAATAACAGTGTTATTTGATGTTTATGTATCACACTTTGGAGTTGATGGAACATTTTTATCACCAAAATGTTGACAAATCAACCTAGTTAGGAGTATTACATCGATTGACGCTTAATTCAGGCTATTTTCTGAAGCTGAGGCACAGATAATACAAACAGATTATTACATCTAAGCGTTATGATGTATAGGACATCTACAGGGGGCCTTTCTTCTCTGTAAGCTGTTTCGAGTGGCTCAACTTTAAATTTTCTGCGTGAGTAGAACGGTACTACGCAAGTTTTGACACTTTTTTCAGGTCAAGACTAATTGTTCGTGATTTCCTGTTTTCACTAGAAAGTTTACAAGCTTCAATTATCGTATCCAGAATTGTCTAGCTTATCCAAAGGGTTAAGTTCATTCGGACCGTGAAAATTGTGATGTCATGCTCAACCGTTCCAGTCGGACAGAGGATGTTAAATGAATGTTCTGGCTAAACAATATGACCAGTGAAGGAAGGATGCGATTAATCAAGTATATTTTATCTTCGGCTTTATTAGCAAATTTGAGGTTTATCTGTTTTGCCCAATCCGACTGGAGAATTCTAACAATGAAAATCACATCTAACAATAGTGAGCCGAGGGGTGGGTGTAACGGAAAAGGAAATAAAGCCTATTAATTCAGGCTGCATACTTATCAATCTGACGGTTGTAGCGACCTTTTCAAGCTCAGCAAGGGTGAGTCACGCTTTGAAAATACGAAAATCCGTTTGATGTTGTCATCCAACGTCAGACGAGGGGAGAAACTCGATGGTAAAAGTTGAAGCCTACGACATTCAACAGAAACGAACAGTACCGTGACAGAAAATGCCGAACAATCTCAAAGCTTTAAACAAGTTTTCCAGGTCAGTGGACGTGAGTATTCTACAGAGAAGCATTCCTGTGTGCCACTTTAATCCGTCGACTACAAAAAAAGCCATGGAGATCGAAGTTGTTGACAGATTCCGGGAAGGTTCGCATGCAGACTTCTGTGAAAGAATGTACAAGAGTTTTAAATCTCAGAGTGCCGTAATGGAACTTAACAGAAGATTGAGTTCGGCCCAGTATACTTTTCCAGACGACAATGAGATTTTATCCACAAAGTTTCCTGAGCAGGCTGTTTGCGAAAGCAGGGAAAAAGAAACGAAAAGCGGCCATTCCAGGACAGATGTCGACATTAGAAGTTTACTTAGACTTCAATCGAATGTCTCTTCGGCAAAGCCGGGAAATTTAGGCTTGAAAAATCGTTTAAATGCACATAATGGAATTTTCGAAATGCAAAATATCACTTATGTTTCTGATAAAGCCGACTTGAGCGCCGCCGAAACAGAGTGCAATGGTACAGAACATGCAGAAGAACATGGAGCGCTGGGCATAACAACTCCGCGTAAGAATAAACAACCACAGCTGAAACTTTTGTTTAGCTCCGGACAAGGTGGCGTGGGGCAAGATGAATTTGACACATTTAATGAACCTGTCGGGGTAACTGCTATGCCAGATGGTAAAATCATTGTGGCAGACTACAACAACGACAGACTACAAGTATTATCCAGCGACGGGAAATTTATTCGCGCGCACGATCACTACTCGAGGGAGAGCGGAAAGAAATTTCCGTTCATGTGCCCCGCTGGGATTGCGTGCGATGCATCAGGTAACATAGCCGTCGTGGAGAAAGGCAAAAATCGTGTTGTTGTTCTATCTCCAGCCTGCACAATCGTGCACGCTTTCGGTCGACATGGAAAAAAACAAGGTCAGTTCAGAGGGCCCCACGGAATCTTTATAGACGCTCGAAAACGCATTATCGTCACTGACACAATGAACTGCCGCATACAGGTTTTTGACCGAGAAGGAAATTTTCTCTTCTTGTTCGGTGATAAGGGGCCAGGGAAACTCAACTACCCATGCTACGCGATCTTTCACGAAGGACGGTTCTACGTAACTGATACAGACAATGACTGTGTGAAAGTGTTTGACACTCGCGGTACTTTTTTGAGGACTTTTGCAGATGGACTCAGCGCGCCTTCCGGGATTGCGGTCTACAAGGGAAAATACCTTCTCGTCTGTGATTATAGCAATGACTGTGTGAAGATCTGTTCCCTCGAAGGACGGGTGTTAAGCTCGTTTGGAAGCAAAGGAGACGGTATTAATCAGTATTGTGGTCCTGAGGCTCTTGTGGTTACTCCACAAGGAAATATTGTCGTAAGCGACAAACTTAATTCCAGAATCCAAGTGTTCGACTTAGTTATTTGAGCAATTAGTTTTAAAAAAAATTGTATTCATCGATTTTTATGCTGGTGTTCAGGCTCGCTAAAAACTAAAATGCGAAATAAACCGTGCGAAAGTCATTAGAGCGATGAAAGCTATAAAGGAAGATAAAATTCCCAACAGGATTCACTCTGAATTTACAATAGCAATAACAGTTTGGTCACGTTTTTTAATTGTTACGCGAAGTGCCATATCTAAATCCCAACAATTAGAGATAAATCTTCTCAAAATTGTTCTGGACCGCCTGTTCAATCTCTTAGTTTTAGATTGTGCGGTCTCTTTTTCATTTCCCTTCGACTGTTTTTGATTAGAATCCCGATGAGATTAAAAGTTCAAATTTATTCAAACCGAAGGTCTCCTTCCCATGATGCCTGTCTGGTTCAGACTAAGAGAGTATAAATCCTGAGCAGTTAATATCCTCTTGTTTCAGATCATTTCTTGCGGGCATCGTCGTCAGGGTTTTTCTTCAAGCTTCTGAAGAAATTTTTTTAATAGTGCAAGTTTGAACCAAGATTTTAATTTGAAAAAGAAAGACTACTTTCGAGTAACTTCCTTCTACCAAGGTTATCCGCAAATTTTTGTTAAATCGCATTGTTGAAACTCTGATAGGCTGTGGCTTGTTTTAAATCTGCATAGACCGTTTTTTTAGTTTTTTTTTATTAGTTTAAAGATATTGCAGGAATGATGTAAAATGTACAGTTTGCAGATATTTTATGAAGATGCTAGATTGTTCAATGGACTGTACAAAATTCACTTGATTTAAAATATTACTTAAGTATTTAGCCAGATATTTATTCGTATTTCAAAGTTAATAGATGGAGCGATTAAAGATATAACACAGTCTAATATCAGTTCTTTTTAGACTTACAGAGAACGGACTTGCGCAACATGAAACTAAGACGAACCGTTGTCGTTTAAACAACCACTTGGTGCTGTTGCGAAACACAACAAAAGACATATTCCCGCTCATTTTATCAAGTGCGAGCAAAATAGATTGACTGTAGTCAACGTAGAGAGAGAGTGATTTCAACCGAGGTTAGAGTTACAGACGCACGAATTCTGTACGGCACAACAGTTTTTCTTCCTAAAGCTGTTAGGAACAAATCAGTTAAACAAATGCGTTTTGAGACATTTAGAACTAAGACCAACTAAGGTGTACGCAATCTGATAACAATATTTTTGCAACTTGCGTGGTTTGATTCTAACCAAAGTGTCGCACGGATCAGAATTAATTGTCTTCATTCAAAGCCATTTTGAACTTTTTCTGCCAGTTTTTAAGCTTATTAAGAGAACTATCATCCTCTTCAATCTTGGTTCCCTGGAGCTCAAATATTCTTTCCACACATTTCATAGTCATATAGTGGTCCGTGGCTTGCAGCGATAGTCTTCGATTGACTTTCATTGAGACGTGTGCTTCTCTGAAGGCCATTTTTGCAGCCCTGGCAGCCGAAGTGTACCTCAGCTTAGAGATTTCGTTCAAACGAGCTTGCCGACTGTCAGGTGTCACCTTAGGTCCTTTCTTTGAGCGCGACGCAACGAATTCCAGTTTCTGTGGTTGGTTAGGTTTGTTCGAATTACCCTGGTAACCCTCAGGCACTCCTTCTAAGGAATCGCGTCTTCCTTCTTGACTTCCTACAATAGGAAGGTTCCCCCTCAAGAAACTATGGCTTCCGGCAGTACGTGGATCAAATTTAACAACGTCAGACACCAAAGAAGACTTTCTTCCTTCAAGCTTGTGTTCATGTTCTTTACTCGACACAACTGTTAAGACATCTGTGACTAGTGTACTCCGACGCCTTGGTCGAGGTTTGTTGTAAGAAACTTCGGCAAGCGGTTTCGTTTCTTCCTCAATTTTCTGGAGGGACATCCTCCTTTGTGCGAAGGACCGCAGCAAGTCATTGCGCAAGTTTAGAGCGCAGTCTTTGTCGTGTATTTCGAGACCGGAAATAGTATGCCGCCGAGCTTGGTTGCTCTGTTTCGTTGCGTGGGCGGGCGCAGTGTAAGTGAAGCAAGTAACTATCTTGGTTTTCTTGCCGATTTTGGCGGGTGTTTTCTGAATTTCAACGGGGTAAGTTTCCTCTTCTGAGGAACAAAAAAACAAAAACAAAAAAAAAACAAAACAAAAATAGATAAAACATTTAAATTACTTCAACTGACGTCTCACAACGTCAATATTAAGACTGCGCCTCGAGCACCACTTTTTTGTCCTCATCTCATTTTGACCACATCTGTAATTTATCACCGAACGACAAAGAATCTATTAATTAGAATCTGTTAATTAGTTGATTGGCTATCCTGTCGATAAATCCTGTGAGCTTTCTCTTTAAGACATTACATTTATGTTTATCGTTGAATTTTCTATCGTAAATGTTTTCCCTTAAGTCAACATCATCATTGCACGTTTTCTATTTCAGTATAATTATCATAGAAGTTACTTAATTGAGTCATAGTGAATCCCCGCTGTCAACCATCACTGAGTTAGGTTACTCGAATTACAAATTCGCATGTTTTATGCTTACCGAATTCGTTCATCTCTTGAGGGGCACATTCCGGGGGCTTACGCACAGGGATCGGCTGAGGAGCATCGGCAAGATAGCGCAGGTCACGGTTTTCATCGATGGCCCGTATGCACCAGGGGCTCTTAAATGCTTCCTCCGCTGTGGCCCGTTCATATTCGTCCACATCTAACATCCAGCGGACAAGATCACGATACTCTGTTGAGAGAAGTCAACTGTAAAAAATCAATTTAAGGAAAAACATACTGGAGTCCAAACTCCGTAGAAAATATGTATTAAACCTGTTAAATGTACCACAACATTTGGATAAAAAAAACTCCGAAACTTCTTAAAATTCCAAGCAAAGGGGTAACACATTTATGCGAACGAAAGCTCAAAAGCAATTAACTAAAACTCCGCGAAAACAAACAAAAAATGCGCGAAAAATGTCCACGTCAGTTTTCCAACGTCAAGGTTACAGTTCTTTGACTTGATTGGTTAATTTGCGACATCACTTACGCGGCACGCGAATACAAAAAGAATACAAAGGGGGAGGGAAAGAGAACAATTCTTACTTGAAATTTCAAAAAGAAAGAGATTTTCTAAATCAACTATGAAAAGTTATCAAAGGCTGGAACTAACTACCGAAGAATGACCGACCTAGTGCGTTTTGATACACAGATTTGAGTTAAACGTATTGCAAGCCTTGCTCTCAAAGCAAACTGCAACAATTTTGTTTCGACTTCATCACAATTTGTATACTCTGCACCTTTAAATGCAATCATAATACCACTTTTTACTATTGTTACGCGTACTCTGTATTGATGCCATGATCTAGTCCTAGCGGAGAAGGCATGAACTATTACATAATGGTATTTCTCGTGGTGACTTATCCAATGAAAAAATAGATAGAGGAGGAGGATAGTGGAGGAGAACGAATAAAAGTGCATCGTTAAGTGGAGGATTTCTCGCATTGTAGGACAGGGCTTACTTCACCAAAGTACCTCCCATTTTTTTAAGCGGCATAAAACCAACAAGTAGAGCAATTTTAAATTTAGCGTCGAAAGAAATCCGGGATTGCTTTGTTTATGCTCTGCTCCGCTATCCGATTCGTCCAGAGAACTCACCCACTCTCTCGACCAGTCACTCTATCTCTTTGGTTTAGAAACTGGTTCGAAATTGTTACACCAGTTGCAAAACCTTGTTAAGTGAGTGTAGTATACAGTGCACAGTACACAGAGTACTTTCGCTTTCCATTTGAAAATTGCTCGAACGTTTTCAGTCAAAATCACTGCCATACCTTTACTAACTCTTTTTGAAAACTTGATTTTGTTAGTGTAGTCATCCTTTATTAAATTTCTCATATCATTTTCACTAAAGGGAAGCCTTGCACAGCCCATTGCGTACAGTACAACACCCATGCTCCACACGTCGGCTTTTTTACCGTCGTACGGCCTGCCTCGAAGGATTTGAGGACAACAATAGGCGAAGGAACCACAGTAGGTTTCTAAAGGACGATCTTTTACCGTGCCCACGGCAAAACCAAAATCTGAAATGTAGAAGCGGATCACCTAGTGTTGGTACTAATAAGGAATTGCCTTTGTTTTAACTCTTCATTCTCGCGACATGTCTGCGTGGCGTTATTCATTACATGATTCTTAGGAACAAATTTATAAAAAAAAAAACCATTTACAACAAAGGAGGCTGGAGTCTAAACTCCGTAGAAAATATGTATTGAACGTGTTAAATCAACCCCAACATTTGGCTAAAATAAAAACCCAGAAACTTCCTAAATCTCCAAGCAAAGGGGTAACAAATACGCGAGAACGAAAGCTCAAAAACAACAAGCTAAAACTCGCGAAAAAAAAACTAAAAGTACGCGAAAAATGTCCACGTCAGTTTTCTAATGTCAAGGTTAGAGTTCTTTGACGTGTTGGCTAATTTCTGAAATCACGCGCGCCGCGCTGAAAACAACAACAACAACAAAAAATCAAACGAGAGGAAGAGAAAAATTGTTACTTGAAATTTAAAAACGAAGGAGATTTTCTACAAAATTGTTGATTGAAATTATTCCTGGCATGAGGAATTCGATTCCCTTTTCTAATTCAGACAAGCTTTCAAAATCTAATATATTAAAATTTTTACGGCGTTGGTACACCCCTCTAACAATTTGGAAATGTCTTTGTCACTAATAATTAACAATTAGATCATGAGCGTGAGATTTCTATCGCTCGATGTTCGATGATGGCGAAGCCCTCGAAAACAATCACGCATAAAAATCTAGCGTTCATTATCTGATAGGATATATTATTACCCGTCTTCAACACTCGTTTTCATTATTATTTTATACCGATGATTTGTCTAATTGAACTGCTCAGTGCGTTTTTTTAGCCCACGCATCGTCTTAAACTATAATTTTTCAAGATAGCTACCTGTTACTTTTAACTTTCCGTCCCCAGCTATCAAGATGTTTTCACATTTTAGGTCTCTATGTACCACGTTTTCCTTGTGGCAGTACGTCATGGCAGCGGCAAACTGACAAAACAGCTTGCGTACCTCCTCTTCAGGTAGCACGGTTCTTGCGTTTATGTATTCCAATAAGTCGCCTCCAGATGCCAATTGTAGAACAAGATACACCTTAGTGGAAGTTTCCACAACTTCGTACAGCCGGATCTGCATAAATATAGAGTTTGTACCAAAAACTTTGTCTTAACAACATCTCTATAGCCTGCAGAGCAGGCGCAACTTTGACGAGCGAGAGCTCACTATTTTCTTAGCAAAAATTATGACCGCTATCTTTTATTTTAATGGCAACAGAGGGCTGTGAAGAGAAAGAGATTTGTACTAATGGGACGGTGGACGGTGGACGGTCAAAAATAAGGAAGATTCGCCTTTCCCCGCCCTCTCCCCCACCACCTCTATCTCCAAATCAAACATGGCCAGCTGAATAAACGATTGCGAGCTTCTTAGATTAACGCTGACTCGCCCTTATAAGACGCCTGCACTGCGGGCTAACATCTCTGTAAAGAACGAATTTGAGTAATAAGTAGTCATGGTTCTGAAGAGGAGCGGGAGATCAGTTTTCGCTTTCGCAAAGCTTTTACGAGGTTCAGAGCCACGTGAGCAATTTTAAGGATACCAATGTGCATTCAAATCAACTGTTATGCTCATGGATCGAGAACCTGGATTACGTGCGCGAGCCAACTCGCATCTGCCGACCCCAATCTCTTATGCCTAACAGAAAATTCGAACTATTACAGCTCAGCTTTCACTGGCATATACTTGAATAATGATAAGCGCTAATAAAAACTGTGATAAATACGGGAGAACCTAGGCATGGGCAAAAAATTGCTCATAAAATCTTCCTTTTAGGACGTGAGAAAACGTCTGTTTCACTCCTCTAGCCACCTTTGGAATATTTTCGGAACGTCATCGGAAATATTCCTACGTCTCGGTTACGATCGGCGTTCTGTTATAAAGTACTCACACTTTGAGGATGAAATTCTCATGACTTTAGCCAAAACAAAATTATCAGGAATAAATGTGAGATCTCTTCGCTTTGTCATCGAGTCTCAACTGAAATGAAACTTCTCTTACCACGTTTGGATGATTGAGTCTGTGCATCAGATGAACCTCTCTGGGCAGAAACTTTTTGAGGAAGTCCCTAGGTGCTCTCCTTTTGTTTATCGTTTTAACTGCTACTTTTTTGTTGTGTTTTTTAGAGTCGGCGAGTTTAACTTTGGCGTACGCGCCTTCCCCCAAGGTTTTTAGGAGAGTATAACCATGTTTCTCGATGGCTGTCAACTGCTGCTCTTTCTTAGGAAGCCACGAATCATTTTTCTTCACCAAGGTGATGTTGGATTTCGTCATTGTTACCGTTTAGTCACTGATATTGAAAATAGTGATGGTTCATGCTCCCCGCCGTGCCTTTATCAGTCCATTCATGTGACCATGTTCCGGAAATTCTCAGCCTTACTCTTATGTAGCAGCGCGCAACTTTGAACGACGAGTTAATTAGAAGTTAACAATATGACGTCATTAATAGAAATGGCGCCAGTTAATTACCATCTGGCTCCAGGTTTTCGAAGGATGGATAATACCATCAACTGGACAAATCTCTAATCGTTGAATAACGCAGTACGTTTTACTAACAATTATCCGCTGGATAGCGATTTATCCGTTGGATAGCGTTATCCGCCCTTAGAACAACTGAGTCCTGGGCATGACTCACACAAAGGGTCTCCTGTTCTTTCTCTGTTTGTTTTTTGTTTTCGTTCGTTTAACAAGATGCTGTCCTGAGATAATTTATACTTCATCGTGAAACACAAACCAAAAACAATGTAAAAATCTGCTGTGTCAAAGTGAAAAAATTCGTCCCTGATGCTCAGTAACCAAGTGCCAAAAATATTAACGGCGGCATGGTTAACAGGTCATTCGTATAGATTGTAGTCCTCTACAGCCAATAGGACGGGCCACAGTGGAAAACACTTTCAAGGAGGGATTGAGCCAATCCTGATTATTAGCTGCACGTATCGACACTGTGCCAGAATTTGCTGTACATTTTTGTTAGTTTTTCAAGACAATAACTTTTACAATAACTTTATTCGTACCCTACATTAATTATATGCTACAAAAAATTAAATAAATAAATATATATATATATATATATATATATATATATATATTACATGAAAAATGGAGTGAGTCCAGGCTGCCAATAATAACCGTTGAGGGCTAAAAAGATAAGGTAGCCTTACTTAAGTTATAAATAAATTATTACATTAAAGGGTCAGGTACCACACACGCGCACACACTACACAAAACACAAAAAGGAAAGAAGAAAAAAGCTAGCAGAAAAAAAAAAGACTACAAAAGAAAGCTAAGTATACCAGCATGTAACAACGGAAAGCCAGGAAAAATGTAGCTTCGGTAAATCTGCAATTAATATTTAGCAATAAGAATTGACTTACACTTTTTCTTTAAACGTTTAAAGAGAAAGGAGCTTTATTTCATCACTTATATCTTTTCAAAGTTTAGCTCCCTGGAACCTTATGTTAAAAATTCCATAATTTGTTCTGGCTTTTGGGATAGCATAAGTCATCCTGGCTCCAGTTGTTCTAAGATCGGATAACGCTATCCTCTGGATAAATCTCTATCCTCTGAATAAAGCTATACGTTTTGCTATCACTTATCACTTAGCGATATAACCGTTGGATAGCGTTATCCACCCTTTATACAAGTGAGCCCTGGGGGACAACCTAGTGTTATTTCTATGTATTTTCCTAACAGGATTAAAAAAGGTATTAAAGACCGAAGGTAAAAGTTGATAATGGAACTTAAACATAAACATTGCAAGTTGAAGGGTAATTATATTACACAGTTTGATAACATTCAAGTCTTTAAATAAAGAACTTGAGCGTTCAGTGCTTATCAAAATTTTAGTAATCTCGCCTGAAAACCTTGACGTTCGCCGGTAGAGAAGGTGGTCTACTTACAATGAGAAAACTTGGTAGATGGCGAGAGAGATCATAACATAAATTTCAACTTATGGAAAAGCGCTCAAGGGAATTAAAGAAAATATTGTCAATGAGAGTTGCTAAGTGATCTTTTATTCCAGTTTGCTGCAGAATTTGAGGTTAAAAATAAAATGTGCCCAAGATATCTAAGAAATTTTCCTTACTAGGATGTGATGTGCATGTGCGCAGGTGAAGCTTTGGACGTGTGATGAAATAGTTCTTATCCTGATAACTCTCACAGGGAGACTTCATTCGACAGAATCTGTGATATGGGAGAGACAGAGAGCACACTTTCGTTTCCTTTTGCACCGGAACGTGAAGCGCACCTGGCGTTACCAAACTTGTGCGTTGTGTTACTCTTCATTCGAACAAGCCCTTTGACTTCTGGGTAAATTTAATGGCGACTTTCAGTGTGAAATGCTACGCAACTTTCATCGATCACTTTCTTCTCTTTTAACGATTAGGAGCTCGTTATTGACAAGACCGAAGGACTCTAGAGTGCTGTATTTTTGGAATTCGCCAGTTAAATTGAATAGCAGCGACAATAAGGTAACGAAAATTAAATTCAGTGAACATGTTCAGTCCACGTCACATGGCTGTTACTACACTTTCAACCCTTAACTCTCAAGATCTGATCTTTGATTCTCTCTTCTTGCTGTTAAACATCTCCTTGTAACTTATTTACGAGAACTTGGTGTTAGATCAAAATAACTTCTACCTGTTAAGTTTGAGTATTCCTACTACTTGTTTGTTGGATTATGTATGGATAATCTAACAAGTTACTTGTTAATCACTTCTGGGAGTTATAGAATTGAATTAAACTTAACGAAAATAATGTAAATTGTTCAATCGATGTACCTTGGAAGATTTTGTTATGATGTAATCAAAGATTTCTTGTTTTTTAGTGAAAAGTAATTTCATGTTTATTGTATGGTATTTGTGGAAAGTTTTTCTTTGAATCCTATAAAATTCAAAAACAGAGAAGTAATTGGAAAGGTGAACTATTTTTTTTCGCCTTTGTTTTATTTTTTCACATGGCTCTCTGCATTTGTAAATTTGGGGTTATACCGAACATTTGTATACCTAGGATTCCATGGTAGTTGACTTGTGTTCTTTACCCTCCTCGTGACTTGATTTTTGAATAGGATGACAGAGATGGGGGTACATACCTAGACTATAAAGGAAAGATTCCATTGGGTAAGACCAATGTATTACTGTGAACACTGATATTTTAAGGCATACCAGAGGATAATACTCCGAAGCCAAGCTAGGGCTGAGACACTCTGGAAAAATACAAGATTGTTCCACACGAAGTTTAGATGAAAGTCCTAAAAGAGAAAAAACAGGAAGTGGCTCTAGGCAAGCTTGATCTAACCTCTCAGAGATAGTAATTCTCTCAAGTTTATTTCCAAAAGATCAAGGTTTCCCTCAAACTCAGCCAATAAACCTGAAAATTAATTTTTTCAACCTTGTAACTTTCAAGATCTTGTCATTAATCTTCCCCTCAAGCTGCTACCTATTGCCTTGTAAATAGGTTACAATAATTTGGTTTTAGATGAAGATAACAACTTCTACCTAATCAGATAAGTTTTAATATTCCTATTACCAGTTTGCTGGATAGCATATGGATATTATAGGCAGAAATTACATACTAATCACTTCTGGGTGTAATAGGGAAGCTTTGTCTTCTGCAATGTAATGCAAGAAAAGGCAAGTGTTTGTTATTCTTGTCAAAATTAGCCTTGACATCAAAATTATGAAATTAACTACAAGGGCATGCTTTTGAAATATATAGGAATATAATTTCTTAGACTACTGCTGGTTTCTTATTGGTAGACAAGTTGAGTGTAAAATTTGCAAGAAGTTCTGGGCCAGGTGGACAGAATGTGAACAAAGGTTTGGTGCATTTTTGTCAAATAGTATAAGTAAGGTTCAATTTGATTTCTATTTGCTTTAGTTTTTGGATTCAAGGACCTTCAAGAGGGATTTTTTATTACCTAAACATACATGTACTGGGAAAAAATATTCAAAAGTACATATTTACTGCCACTCATAACTAAGAGAGCACTTTTTTAAGACCTATCAGATTTCCAGAGAGACATCTTATCTGCCCTAAACTTAAGCATCTATTATACATTTCCTGAGCATCATTCCTCCTGGTGTATTCCTGAATAGTTATCAGTGTAGTGGCTATTGCATCCATATTCATCCAAAATCAAAGACTAGAAGGAATATTTGGTCCCATTATTTCTTGGTTTGGTACTTTGGTTGTAAAAACTAATATAACTTTAATTTCTTCATTTTTAAGTAAATACCAAAGTGGATTTACGCTTTCACGTTTTAAGTGCTGAATGGATTCCAGAGGATGTTAGACACAAGATCTTGGAAAAGGTATGGTTGTGAAAGTCCCTTGTTAAATCAAAAACAGTTTGCTAGCATTTGTATAGACTATGGCTGAGGAATGTTGAAGAGTGGAAACTGGAACTATTGCTTTTGGCATTTCAGCCTATAAATTGCTATTTCCTCAGAATCCACTAAGTCTTTGCTTGCCACTTTTTAAACTAAGAGAAACATTTTTTTGCAACAATAAAGGTAATTTGCATTTTATCTTCTGGACACCATGTTCAGAGTGCCATTTTGTGTACTCTTTGCAATGTGAGCCATCACTATTGACTGAACAAAAAAAACCTCTTCTTTCTCTAAAACTTACAGGAGAGGAATAGAATCAACAAAAATGGTGAATTATTTCTCAGCTCAATGAAATACCGCAGCCAGCAGAAGAACTTGGAGGATGCCATTGAGAAAGTGGAAATGATCATTAAGGAAGCGTCTTATATTCCAAAAGAAACCACACTGGAAAAAAAGGCTAGAGTAAAGAAACTGTAAGATAATACTGTTTTAATCATATTTCTAACAGTTATTGTTTCTTGACAAAGGCAGCTGATATGAGGACAAGCTATCCCATGGGCTACACAAAATCTGCCCCATTCCAAAGTTTTTGAATGTAAGTTTTCAGCTATAAGTGCATTGAGGGGAAACAGAAACAGGTGTAAAGCAAGGCTGAGCACACTACTCATTTGCACTGGGCCAATTCCTACAAAGAAGGTTTTTTTTTAATTTCACTCCTGATATAGTAAAAGGTTACTATTAACCAAAGACTGAAAATGTAAGAAATTTTAAGTGAGGTCCAAATGGGTGTTCTGATGATTCCAATTTCACTGTGAATATCAAGTAATTGCTTGAAATAAATTTAGAAAAAAATTTTTCACTCTTTCCAAGGTGACCAGGCAATAACAATTTTATAATGTGCTACTCCAATGAGGGCATGTCTTGTAATATTATTTTAATTCTGATTGCTATTATATATTTCCCAACTAACCACAAATAAAGGTATGGTCTCTGCAGTTTTTTCATAAAAAATGTGCCATTAATTTTTGCAGTTTGTACCTTGGTTAGGGTTAAAACACTTACCTCAAAAATTATTGCTGTACTTCGCATATGTGGATGGAAACTATGTTACCTGCAGAGTTTAAAGTGTTATTTCTTGATTCTATTTTTGTGATTTTATGATATTTATGGTTATTTTTCAGGGCAAGAATTGCCAATGAAAAGCGCCTCCTTGCCAAGAGGTACAGATCAGAGAGAAAAAAAGATAGATGGCAGGAGTGATTAAAGAATTTGGCCAGACAAAAAAGAAAGAGGGAAGTGGAATGCCAAATTGTGCCTCTACAACAAGGACAAACCATCCCAAAGACATTTCCTGGTTTATACTAAATAAAAGAGAAACAAAACCAAAGATTATCTCACAGAGCAAATGTAAATCATGACAGCCTAAAGTAGAGACTTTGATTACATGCCAAATAAATGAAGAAATGGTTCTCAAGAGTGATTCTAAGTTTTCTCCAAATAGAGGAAAGCTCAATTTTTAATTTATCAAACTTTGAGAAGTTACGAAGGACTGTTGTCAGTAGTGGTGACTGACATTTTGTCATAAGTCATCATCAGAGTCAAGTGAAGAGTTGTTGTCAGTCTAGTGTCATAAGTCCAGTTGTGTAAACTGATTGGTCAGTTTAGTCTTGATGTCACTGGCTATACGAATCAATTACAAGTGGTGTAAGTCAGTCATGATCTGCCAGGTTTGATCTGGTTGGTAATGTTAAGCCAATATACCTGGTTCATTTGTGATGTAGCTGTGGTGAACAAGTTATCTGTATGGCGTCAGTAGCCACTAATGACAACAGTCCTTCTCAGGACTAACCCTCAACCAAAAAATTTTATCACATGATCAAATGTTACCCTCAGGTTTAAACCATTCACTTTATCAAACTGGTTATTACCTGATGAACTGACCCTGAACTGTCTTAATAGCAGAAACATCAATGTTAGTTAATATATTAATCAAAGGAGCCTTATAGTTTTTACAAAAACTCATTTGTCCCAGCAATTGGATGGGAAATATTTTTCCACTCAGGTTATCCTGAGTTCATCCAACTCCATTACCTGATCTTGATTTCTCACTCAAACCTTCTTCTGATCAATGATGAACAGCCCTTTAGAAAAGAGTGCATGCCAGGGGTGAATTACAACATCTTCATGAGCTAAGTGTAATATAATTTTAAACTTTGTACTGACTGGGGCCATCAAGACATTTAATGTGTTGACCTAGTTATGAGGGGGGGCATTGTGATTTTTGGTTTCATGGTTTTTCAGTCTGACAGCAATTATGCACCACTACTGGTCTTGAATAGGCTCGAAATCTCTGTATGCTTCACTTGCCACTGACTGTAACAAGTCGATTGTGGTTTTGATAACTGGGATGTGAAAATTTTTCAGTCTTGATGGTTTTGCATGCGGTTTTCAGTTTTGATCTAATTTTTCCGCGGTTGTGTGGTTTGGCATGATTTTTTTCTACAGTTTTGAAGCTTGCTATAGGCCCCAAAGCCCCTCTCAATTATTTACCAAATTTGCTTTAAAAAAAAGTCAAAAGATAGCTCATTTCCCTCCTATAGTCCTTTAGGAAGGATGATCCCTAGGCTCTATACCTAGAAACATGAACATATTCAGTTCCTTTAAATTGTCTTTCAAATTGAACTTTCTTCCTCCTGTATTTCTGTCCTCTCCAGGTTGGTACCAAAGTCACTGCAGGGCCTTTCTGACCGCCTCTAACAATTCTTTCCCAGTGTGGTGGAGATGGATCAATTATGCTCAGAGCTTTGTCCATTGTTATGAAACGCAGTGTGAAATGAGAAGCAACTCACTGAAAAGTGTGAATACTAAGAAAGCATACGGTTGCACTGAAGCACGACCTAGGTATGCATTATCCCAAATGCAATTGCAGGCTTCACGAAAAGACAGAACTTCAACCAACTTTTGTTCCCTCGTAGAAACTTCCACTCAGAATAGCTTTACAGATAAAACAGTGGTCAAATGTTTCGAAAGCAACTTTTATTTGCTTGTTCAAGTGGGTGTCCAAGTTTAGCCAAGTGAGCTGCAGATGCGCTATCCTTGCGCATTATGCATGGTAACAATAAATCGTTTTCCAAAGTATTCTTTAACCTCAAGTTACGAATATGCGACAAGAGAAACGGAATTTCACCATCATAACCGTTAGGGTTAACCGAACCAAACCGAGGATGCATCACTAAAGACGTGAAAAACCCTTGCCAAAACTTTTAACTACGTATATGCATTTTAAACAAAAACCAACACCAATCCTTCCGTTCTGGTATCGGTGTCATTATGGTAAACAACTTCGTTCCCACGGTCATCTGTTTGCAAATCAACGTATTCATTAAATCTTATTGTTTCTGTTCATTAAAGACGGGTGGCTAATTTGGTTGTGCAATTGAAATACAGAAATTGGATAAATGGTACGGTAAATTGTATTTTGAAGCCACAGAATGCACATTTGGGCAATAATCGTAGTGTTACAAGGACCGCACCTTTCACAAAAAATGAGTAACCTTTAAAACAAAAGTAACCCATCCAGGTAACAGCCAACTGTTTTGGTCCTGTTGGGCCACATCAGCGTGGCATGGCGCTCGTGATGGTTGTGGCTTCCCACACAGAGAAGGAAAAATGCATGTATGGCCACGCCACAGTCAATCCATGAGTTCAGTGGGCGTTGTCTAGCTCCGCCTCACTCGTTCTGAGTCATCTGACGCAGCAGTAGAGTGCTGGTCTTGATTGCATGATAACCTCTCGATCCTTGCTTATAGCAAAGGAAAAAGGGATAGAAGAGTTTGGAGAATATGCATACTGATGGTAGGTGTTAAGGTTACCAAGGTGATTCCAAAGCACAGAAACGAGTCGTGCGGCAACATGTGCAACGTTTAGTTAGTAAAAAAATTCCTGGGATAGAGAAGGAATTTCTTTTAGGTGGAAGACTAAGAATTTTACCACTATGTGATGGAAATTGCCTATCTAATCCAGCTGCCTGACATGTCTCTCACGATAGAGATGTTCCACAACACAGCATGTCATCTCGTATTGTTATGTTTTTTTCGGACGCGAAAATGTCGAACGTGAGTGTTCAACATTTTCATACCACGATTATCGGCTGAGTGAGACAGGGAACATGTTTGGTGACAGGTTTGACAATGTTACCACGGGCAGCCGTCCTTGTTTCCAAAGGTAACTGAATCTAAAAGAGCCGTGCGACGTGAAAGCTCGCCGAGAAAGTCAAATGACACATTGGCACTGCAAACAGAGCCATGCAGTTGCCTGTGACAACAACGCGATTTAAATGTCAAAGCTTCTGTCGCTCCCCACTCAACGGAAAATGGTAGTAATGTTACATTAAACCTTCTCCCCTAAAAGTTTTTTTCATACATCACTATAAAGTAGATTATAGGTCAATTTACACGCAGTATATTTTCCCACAACCAGCAGGCAAATTTTGCTTCTCTCACTCTTACTGGTCACAAAGAAATGGGAGCAACTCATTAATAAGCGTTGAGTGTGGCTGTGATATTAACACAGGTTTTTAAAACTTATCGAACGACATTTTTCTATTGTATACAACTGCCACAGATACATCGTAGATTTGGTTTTAATCAAAAAAGTTTCATGAAGATTACACTAATCATGTTGTACTGAAAAAAAGTTGCACATTTATTTCTCACAAACAAAGAGGAGATAAGTAATCGTAATAAACTGGATTCTTTTGTTTGCTTCATTTATCTAGTTACTCACAAGTAGAAAATTATTTTTCTCCCAGGTAGGGGCATGGAATTGAATACTATTCAAATGTAGTAATTTTTTTTCTCATTAAAAAATATCTTTTTTGAGTAGCCAATGCCAGATTCTCCTGCAGTCAGTGGAGATAAAAAGCTTCTAAGGACTAAGTCCTACCATTCATTTCGTTAGTTCCCCTTAGTTATTTTGCCGCCACTACTCGACCGAGCACAAAAATTGTTGATATCTGGGCGCGTTGGCTAGCCAAGTCCGTTTATTTAAAGCTATTATGCTTAAAAGAGCTCATCATAATTACAGTTCAGTGAAGGAAACTGAATGCACACAAAAGCCAAACACGAAAACCCATAAAACCGGCACTTGGAATAAAAAAAGAAGAGAACGTGTACCCCTGACCACGGCAGTGGTGCCACCTTCCGGGTCTTAGGGTATCCTATGAATAACATGATATACACAAGTACATAAAAGTTACTTAAAGAAGCACGCGAGTATAGCTCTTAGTAAAACCTGATGTGAACATGACGATATTCCAGGAAAAAACTAAACAAAAAAGACTTAATAAATTTATACAAAAATGAAACCGACCAACTTAACATGGCGAAGGCTGACCGTAAAATACCTCGCCCTACTAATGATCTCAAATAATTATTACAAACTACGATCCCATAACTCTCCCCGCACTGCACTCCCCTTCAGTCCTCTGATAAATGCTGGCAAAATTTTAATTTATGCTAATTGCGATTATCACAAATTACATTTTTTCGCTTTTGACCCTGCTTTTTTGCTTTATATGTACTAGCTTCAAATGTATGTAAATTGATGGCACCAAGCTTTTCCTTGTCTTTAAATTCACGTGACTACTATTACTACACAAGTGAACAACAGCAACAAAAATAAAAATATCAGACACAATAATTTAAAACATCAGGAACACTACTTGGATTTAGGGGCCACCAGTGTATGGAGAGACCTAGGGGAATATCCAGAAAGATGACTGGTGCCCCCCTTCCCCCCACCACCCTCTTCGCCATCAAACTTGTGAGTATTTTGTGAATATAGTCTAACAACGAAATTCTTGCAATGACAAGATTGCATATTACTATCAAAGATGTAAAATTTACTAAACTTGAGAAATTTTTCTGGCTAGCTTTCCACACTGAAAACAACTACTCAGAAAAGGTTTCACCTGTGGCCACAATATCATTGGGTTTTCTTGAGGCAAAAGTCACTCACAACTACACCCAAATTGACAGTGCGGTCATACAAGGCTTGCGCTAGGGAATAGTAAGAAGCACCATTACCATTGGCCTGCTTCCATGCTCTTAATATTTGATAGGACTGCTCAGAACCTTTTTTTGGGTTGTCCATCACTATCTTATCTAATCGATTATCTTTTACCCCAAGTGCCCTACCCAGTCTTTTACATTTTCCCATCACGGCCTCAGCTATGTCTGGTAAATCTCTCCTGTCTATTGGTCCTTCCTTTAGGTTCCCTGCTTTATATTGAAAAAACCAAACAAAAACATGTGTAAGGAAACAAATGTATAAGCAACTTATGAAGTGAATTACAACTTATGACATATCAAATATAGGCAAATAAACTGAACTTCTCTATGACAAGTTTGAAGTTTGCTACGGAGGTTCAGAATCTGTGAATCTGTGCTCAACAGGACAATGAAGGTTGCATGATTGTCAACAATAACGGAATATGATGCTGTATTTAGCATTCTACAATGAAGAACACTTGTTCAATTGTGGGTCCATTATTATGAAATGCACTTCTCTCTGTTTTCTTCAGTTATTAACTCAGGGTTTAAAAGAGCAAGTGCTGCCACCGTATGAAAGACAGCTTCTATGGATTTGCTTGTCCTGAATGGGGTCATGGTTGAAAGGAGAAAGAGCTTGATAGTTTAATTTAATGCAAAGAGCTTAAGAAATTATTCTGTTACTTACGCAAATTCACAACTTCCTTTAGGGGTGGAGTGCATTCCATAAGACAGAAGTCTCGACGAATCTCTTCAAGATCATGCTTTCTTAGGGCAAACGCAAGCTTGTCATAGGAGGCAGCACCTTTCTGCCACCAAGTTTTTAGCATCTTATAACTTCGCTCGTATTCCTCATCGTTGTCTATCTCAATACCATTGAGTTCCGCATCACTCAGATCTAGACTTTTCCCAAGCTTTTTCCAATCCATGTTGCCTTGTATATCCAATGCAAGGTATGGAAAACATTCAAGAAGAATGTTACCACTTCTGACTTTTGGAAAAAGAATAAACTTCTATGATACTACTATTTGGGATTTCTTTGTTCCCTATTTAAGGATGTTTATACACTACATAAGCCACCTCTACCTTCTTTTTTTCCCCCTTATATATTTCTTTGAATTCTCAAATCAAAATAAATGGAATTTACAATATACTGATTAAATTCCTTTATATGTGGAACAATCATGTGGTTTTGTTCCTCATTTGTTAGTTCGTAGGCACGTTTTAAACCCTGTTTGAATCTTGAACGTTTCAATGCTTTTCTAATCGCAGTTTCCTCTATGACCTCTATTGCCATTCCCTTCAGTGTAAGGAATTAATGGTTGAGTCTACCACACAGTTGTTTCTACTCGTATCAACCAGAATGAAAGAGACACTTGACAGCACTTGTGCTTGGAGAGTTCAATATCACAACCCTAAATTAGTGAGGTCACTTAATGGTACCATGCAAACTGATGCCAGGATCATACTGTGACTGCTCTAAACATAATAATTACTATCACCGGACTGATTAACAGGTAAAGCAGCATCTGATAATTTTTTTTCAGTTGTTAAAAATTAATCAATTCCTGAGTTCTTTCCAAATTTTACGTGCGATACATGTTACATCGTAATAGCGCATTTGTCATAGTTAATAGTGATATTGATACTAATGCCGTGTTTTCACCTTATTCAATGATTTAACATGTAATACAAACAGACATTTTGCAAGTTGCATAGTCTTTTACACGGTGAGGAAAATAAGAGCAATTTCTGCTTGAATTACATGTTAAACCATTGAATAAGGGATTTATTTTTCCACCATTATCTCATTTTCAGGTATTTTGGCGTCTAGTTTAGGAAATACATCCTTTGGCTTCTCCATATAATTGTATAGAATGCAGAAAGCATGCACAAAGGACGAAAACAACACTAATGAAACTATTAAAGTGTTCTCTAAGATGCCCGTAAGAGGTCAAGCCTGAAATACGGAAAACAAACCGAAGTTTTGATCATTCAGTGTGGCTATTTTGTCTCTCCGCCTTCCGTCTGTATTTCAGCCGATGTATTACCGTCCCTTATCGTCGCTAATATGGTAGAATGGTGTAAAATAACGTAAAATGGCGTAGCCTTGAATAGATCATATCATGCATTAATACATGACCTGCTGCATAAACTCAGTCACAAATTGACGTATTTGTTAATAGATATTGCCAAAACGATCAAAACTTGCTAAAACTGTGGAAATAGGAAAGTAGCTAAACTAGGTTGAACTCTCTACAATTGTGAACTCTGTTTTTGATTCAGCAAAATCCAAAACATCACATGCCTTCACACGAGGCAAAATCCTACACCATTTCTTTTTAGAGTGATAGGATAAGAACAAAAGGTGACCTCTTACTTTTCTCATCAGACTCCTGAGCAGGGACTGTTTCAGTACTGGAGGGTGTCTTCTCATAACCTTTTTGAAAAAAAAAACAAGGAAATATTCCTTAAGAATCTGCTTTTCATTTCAACTTACAAATTAGGTTGATGAAAATAATTAAAATTAAGAACAATCTAAAATGGCATTAATAATGAATACTAATGATAGCAGCCAGGAAACAAACATACAAATTTTGTCCTAGTACGGATATTTCACCATCCTATTTTGGTCAGAGTTCTAATGCCTCACAGTCTTTAGATAACTGTAGAGCCAATCGCAAGAAACCCTTCAGTTGATGAACATGAGCAAACAAATACTAACAACAGTTACAAAAAAATTACCAAACACAACTTTAAGCAGCTTGTTCCCCAATTCTTTACCCTCTTCCTGATCTGATGGATGTATTGGAGCTGTCAATAAAAAATTCAGGTGAGAGAAGTTCACATCTTTTTCAGTATCTTTTCTAAGTCCTGCTGAGAATATTGATGATTCATTCATTATTGAGAGACTAAATTTTCACACTTTAATCAAAGTGCTCTGTGAGCAAACTCGTGAATTGACACATGATTTTTTGGATTATGTTTAATGTTATCTGATTTAGAGAATTTTGTGGTTGATTGTCATATCTAGAGTTCGAGCAGTAGTTCAGTGTTCGCTAATGTAACAAAGAAACAAAGTAACGTTGGGATAAGAAGGCATTACAATTTAAATGATCATGCTATTACATTTGACAAGGGTGGATGATGTCGTGTTTTAAACATATATCATTTTTGTTTCTGGTTCAAAAGAAAAGGTTGGAAGTAAATGTGGGTGAAAAGTGAAATTTACTGTCTATCATTGTCAATATTAGAAAATCAAGGCAATACTGTCTCAATGAAAACATTAACGATTCCCTCTTTATCAAATGAGACAAACGGGAACGAGTTTTGAGTGACATAACTAAGCTAAGACTGCCACCGTCATTTTGGATCTCCGCCCGGGTAGATTTCAGTCACTTGCTAGGCAACGTATAATCAATAACAAGACAGAATTTCATTTCAGGCCTATTTATCTATTTTGTGGTGTACAACTTTCGCATTTTAGTACGTAATATGTATTTTGAATCTTCAAATTGTCTTGAAACTTAAAAGAAAATTGTTCTTAAAAAATTCACTGAAAATCGGTAGCTAAAATTGTTTGTCTAGGTGTTATTTGATTTTCGTGTTAACTTGTAATTTCGTCAGTCGCCGGCATCCTCTGATGCTTCATACAGGAAAAACACACGATACGAAACGTGATGATCGATTTTGTCCTCAATCTCACGCCATAACAGAAAAAGCTTTTGGACATCTGTAAACTCCGAGCACTTCGCAGTAAGTGATATTTTCAATGAATCTTCGGATTGTTTTCAAGTTCAAGGATTGTAAATTACAATTTATGAAAAACGAAGGTTGTTCTGTTATTTCAGTGTGAATCCTTGCATGCCTGCCAGTCGCTGGCGCCGCTTGTTGAAACTAAAACGAAAAAAAAAACTCTTTTAAGATTATCATTAGCTTCTTTTTCACCCCACCACTATTCTTAGCAACAAAGGTCGCCATTTCGTTTGTTTATTGCTCGCCAAAAACTATCAAATGCACTCAAAAGCCTGAAATCGAAAAAAAGTTTACAGGAATTGACCAATCGAGCGAGTGCCATTCCCCACATCGTATCTACAACTCGCTCTTGCGCATGCGCGCAATTCACGAGTTAAAAACTATACATTTAAGCGTAGTAAATGGCCAAACCTAGGGAGGATTTGTTTATGTTTTTGAATGGTTTTTATTGTTAGATCTTAAACTGTACATGATATTTCTTCTCATACGATGAATTACTCATTGGTCCTGTAACCAGTATGATAGCTAAAACAAATTGGTAGGACACCAGTCACCTTCAAAATATCTATATGCATTGTAATGAACTTTACAGTTCCACAGTTAAACATGTTTTCTTATTGAGAATTTAGTGATAATATATACATGTCATGCATGCACATATATCCATGATTAGATGAAAAAAAACATACAATCAAAATAAGAAAGCTGTCGAACAGATTTCAATTTGCTCCATTAACTGTAAAACAAAACTTTATCTTGTTAGCTTCCATGAAGAATGTAACTGCATGGTGACCCATGCATCAGTCTCAGACAGACTGGGAAATTTCATACGGAAGCCTGGTACCAAACATGGCATAAATTTCTCTGCCTCCTAAAAGCGAAAAGCTCCATTATTCAGCTTACTGGTAGATTTTAATTGCAGGCCTTACGCCTAGACTTGTTCTAAACTTTAACTGTACATCCATTGGCAGCATTCCACAGATATTTTGCAAGTTGTGTAGTATTTTACAGGGTGAGGATTATAAGAGCAATGAGCAAAATTCCTGCTTGAATTATATATTAAACCATCAAATAAGGGATTTATTATCCACTATTATCTCATTTTCAGGTATTTTGACATCTAGTTCACGAAATACTTCCTTTGGCTTTTCGAGCCAGACAATTGTAAAGATTGCAGAAAGCATAAACAAAGGAGGGAAACAACACTAATGAAACCATTTAACCCTTTAACTCCCAGATCAAATTTGTAATTCTCCTTACTGTCAACCATACAATTCTTATAATGTAAGTTCAGAGAATTTAGTTTTGGATCAACTACTTATCCCCAAATTGATATTTTTCTTTATTCTCATTGTAGATCGCAACGGCTTACATTCTTTTTCGTTTATTGTTCTTGTGCAAGAGTGCTAATTGTAGTAAAATTTTGTGTGCACTTTCTTTGTGTCATTGTGTAACGTTGCGTAATGTAGCGCGTATTTAACCGTATTGTTCATCGTAGTTTGGGGCAGTTTGGCAGTGTAGTTTCGTCGAGTGTGGTTTGGTATATTTGTTCTTTTCGCTTCATGCTGTTTGTTCGCCACTAGGCAGGATCTTTAACATCGCAACAAATGTAAGTTTTGTATCATGTAGTTTTCTTCGTTGTTCTCGTTGTAGCTTTCCTTGTGTATTTAGTCTAGTTTATATATTGTAATAGTTTTCGTTCGCTGTTTTATTTGCAGTTTTAACCGTACCGCGTACCGTTCGCGTTTAAAATTGTTAGAACTAGTTAGTATAAATCGCCAGTGGCAGTTACACTCATCACTTATCTGGTTGATATTGTATTGATATTGTAAGGAGAAATTCTGTCTTTGTCACTCATGGAAGTTAAAGGGTTAAGTGTTCTCTAAGATGCGCTTAAGAGGTCAAGCTCAAAATACAGAAAAGAAATCAAATTTTTGATCATTCAGTGTGGCCATTTTGTCACTCCGCCTTCCATCTGTATTTCAACCCTGTTCTACAATGTGTTAGCATCCCTTATCGTCGCTAACATAGTAGAATATATATATATATATATATATATATATAAAGGAGTGGGCCTTAAATTAATGGGGGGGGGGGCTTTAACAAGCGGCATTTTAAAGTAGACACATCACTACATTACCATTCAAAATAAGCTAGGAAGATTTGAGGGGCTGGGACTTTAATTGAGTATTAATGCATCCTACACAAATTGTATGATACATGTAGCTACAGCAACTTGTACAATAATCAAAAATAGATTGAGTAATATTAATGTACACCTAATATACACACATCGATATTACATACCACAAACAATGTACAATCAATATACATACATTGAAATTACATACCAGAGTATAAATTACCAGAGGCATCTGGGATATCTACTTGTGGAACATTGCCAGTTGCACCCTCACTAGGTTCCTTTCCTTGATGTTCTGTTCCGCACATACAATTTATGAAAAAAGAAGAATCGTAATTGAATATAAACTAAAAAATTGTCTTTTACAAATAAACTTAGTAGGATGTATAGTGCACTTAACTTGTTTCATCAATTTGGGAAAAAGCTCAGAGGAATTTAAAAGCTCTTCCTCTGTTTTGTCTGTAATTGCCAACTATCATCTGTACTGCTTATGTTGTACTGTTGGCATTTTATGTAACAGAAATAATGTTGTAATTTCTCCATACATTTCAATGTTTTTTTCAAGAACAAAAACGAGCATAATATTATCTCTAATCTGAGAGTCTCCAGCCCTCTTCTTTTCTTGGTCTGGAGTGTCCTGCTTTTTGGTTGCAGGTCTTGAGCAAACATTACTACTGAGAAGGTAGTTAGTCCAAAATACAGAAAACAAATTAAAGTTTTGATCATTCAGTGCAGCCATTTTGTCTCTCCATCTTCCATCTGCATTTCAGCCCTGTTCTATGGTGTACTATGGCCCCATATCGTCACTAATATGGCAGGATGGAGTCAAATAACATGAGACGGTGTAACCTTGGATAGATCATATTAGGGGCTGTTATAAATGACTTGCTGCATAAACTCAGTCACTTATAAATTTTAAAATTGACGTATTTGTTCATAGATATTGTCGCACCAATTAAAACTAGCTAAAACTGTGCATAAGAAAGTAGATAAACTGAGCTGAACCCGCTACAATTGTGAACTCTGTTTTTGATTTGGTAAAATCCAAAACATCACATGCTTGCACTTAAGGCTGAATCCTACACCGTCTTTTTTTTTTTAATGTGATTGGATAAGAACAATAGGTGACCTCTTTAACTTTTCCCAATAGATGCCAGAGTAGGAACTGATTCAGTACTGAAGGATGTCTTCTCATGACTAACTTAAAATACACACAAGGAAATCTTCCTTAAGAATCTACTTTTCATTTTGACATACAAATTAGGTTAAGAAAAAAAACAAATGAGGAAAATTCTAAAATGGCATTAAAAATGAATATTAACGATAGCAGCCAGGCAACAAACATATAAATTTTGTCCTAGTACGGTTATTTTACCATCCTATTCTGGTCAGAGTTCTAATGCCTCAGTTTTTAGATAATAAGAAACCCTTCAGTTGGCAATCAGTTAGGACACCAGTTACCTACAAAAGATCTATATGCATTGTAATGAACTTTATGAATGCTGTACCTTTACGAAGGCTGACAAAATGCTCATCATGTATGTGCCCTAGCCAAATTGGATTTCCACTTTGTACTTCACATTTTGGTCCAAAATTGTTTACCTTTGCTATCTGATTATGTAACACACTGATCACATTAATAGGGACATTATAGAGGTATGCTGCTGCTAAGATTACATTTTCGTCACCCCAAACACCATCCTTTCGCATATTTGTTAGGTACGCATTCCATTGATCAAAATGGCTACGTTGATCATTATCTAACAGGTCAAACAGATGAGTTCCATCATCCTGCAAGAAGAATCGATAAATTAGGTTTATATAGGATTAGAGTAAGCATTGCAAAAACAGGAAATCAAAATTGCATATTATACATGGGTCTTACTGTTTGTCATGCATGTAATTTGCTTAAAACATGAAAAACAAAAACTTTGTTTTAATTGGTCTATATTAGCTCAGGTTAAAAATTAATCAACCGACGAACAACTTTTTCCATTTTGATCCATGAACAAATTTAGTAGAGTATTTAAGAGACAGCTGATGAGATAAACATTTAATGATCACACTGTATTGTATGAGTGATCAGAAATTTGCAGACCTGAGCAAAATGGAAACCACGCTGCTGAATCTGGACAAGAAAACTATATAATAATCTGCCAAACAGGAATGAGAGAATTCATGTTATGGTAGTACATTATCAGTACTAGGAAAATCTCAAAGTTGTTTGTAAGTTTTTCATGGGCTTCTTTACCAGTCATGAATTACTAGGCACCAAAAAGATATTGATGACAATGATAAAGTAAATTTCTTCTTCTTGTTATCTCAATAAACAGTTGTGAGAAGATTTGACAAATATGTCTTTTTTGCTGTGCAAACTTTTTTTCTCAACAATTTTGTTAAAAATAGGGGTGTACATTATACATGGGCATGTATTATACACAGGTAAATATGCAGGTACTAGCTGTCTCCACAAAATACCTAAATCATACTTCAAAAAAGCTTAGATCAAAGCTCCTCACAGATAAATGAGTTAACTAATGGCCAAAAAATCATAACTTTATTACCTGATTAAAGTTCAGGTAAATGAAACAAATTTTCTTATTATGCTTGTCTCAACTCATAAACTTCCTTTCAGTGCAACTATCAAATGACAAGCAAACTTAACTTAATGGAATTTTAGGGCCAAGATAAAACACAAGTTTAATTCTTTTGTATTTAACATCATTATCTATTTTAAACCTTTCACACAATGGCTGCTATAGATCCCTGAAACATGTGTAACATTCACAGAACAACTGAATGAGTGAAACTTAAAAAAAAGCATTAAATATATCAAATGAAAGATGAATTATTCACAGTTCACTCTATCAAGCCATGGTTTAAGTAAAGTTGAAACTGAACCCTTGATGTGTTCCTGTAAAATCAGAACCAGGCAGATAAGAACAGAATTACCAAGCAGGGTAGATTTATTAACTCTTAGATAATGTATACGGTTTCAATAGGAGTCTGTTTGGTTCAACAAAAAATGTGGTGGCCTACAGGGCACTCTGGAAAAGGTTAAGAAATGTCAGATTTGATTATGTAACTGAGTGAGCAATTGACAGTTTTTGATACTACTTATAAATACCAAACAAAACTTACTATTTTTGGGTTCTTTTCGAGGTATTGAACTAATGTTTCCCTTAATTTGTCATGTGGAATTTGAATTTTTAGAACAATTTCCAGTTGTTCTGATAAAGCATGGAACAAACAATTTCCCCCTCCATGATTACCAGAAACAATTAAGCCTCTGTCTGATGCAGCTTCCTGTAATTTATCTCTTAGTTCAATTGTAGGAACTCCTTTGCTCTTGAATTTACTTTCACTGGTTGCATCTTCGAACTTTTTAACATTCTTGGTGGTTTCTCCTAAAGCACCTAAAGAAAACAAACATTTATTCTGTAAAAGATAATAAAAAACCTATAACTAATACAATATTAATGCATATGTGACCTTTCATTCTCAAGCCATCATGGATTAATTGAGCCATGCTGATGAACAAGAACTACTTTCAGTATTTTCCCCCTTCATGGTTAAACATGTTTTCTTTTTTAAATTTAGTGATAATATGTACATGTCATGCATGCATGCATACCTGTGCTTATAGACAGAAAAAAAAAATACAATCAATATAAGAAAGCTGTTGGAAAGAATTCAATTTGCACCATTAACTGTAAAACAAAAATATCTTGTTAGATTTTTCCTTCAAGATTATGTAGTTGCATGGTGACCCATGCGTCAGTCTCAGACAGACCAAGAAAGCTTATACTACCCTGGTGCCAAACATTACATGAATTTATTTCCCTCCCAACAGATAGTTTACTAAAAGCTCCATTATTCAGCTTAGACTTATTTGCTGGCCTCATAGCTGGACTTGTTCTAAACTTTAACTGTACATTCAGTAAAATTTGATTTCTTTTAAACATATCCAGTGGCTGCATTCCATTATTCAGATTTGTGCTCTCATTTGTTCATTCTCACTTTTCAAATTTGCACCTTTCACATGCAAATTATTACCACAAACTGCTGCTCACAAGCCATGGGCTCTGAAACTTTGAAGGTATGAGGGGGTGAAGGAGGGGTTGGGTCAGGGCTTATTTAACAAAATGTAGTAGGGAGAAACACAAGATGTAGTCAAATGTTTCTCCCCACTTCTCTTTTAATAAAGAATCTGATAAATTCCCAATGCTTTACTTCCAATTTTCCAAATGTAATAGTGTAGTTTGATCATCCAGGTGAGTGTAGACCAAACCAAACTTTATCATAAAAATGGATCAGGGGCACATCTCTACTGGTAAGTACGCTTACTACCAGAGCACAAAAACTGCAATAATTTTTCAAATATTCTGTTTGAAGCAGTAAAAGAGTTCCTATTTCTCAGGAGTGAAAGAGAGAGAAGGCTTTAGGAGTGTGGCACAGGTTATATCTGTAGGGGATTATAATTGCATGAATTTCTTTTTAATACAAATAGATGGACCTTATAGTAACCAGTAGGAGGCCTTGAATTACTGGAGGGGGGGCCCTTTAATAAGCGGCAGTTTATAGTAAACACACCTCTAGATTATATACCATTCAAAATAGCAAGGAAGATTTGAGGGACTGGGACTTCAATTGATTCGTGCATCCTACACAAATTGTATGATACATGTAGCTACAGCAGCTTGTACAAAAATTAAAAATTGATGGATTGATTTTAATGTACAATTAAATTACACACATTGAAATTACATACCAGGGGCATCTGGGATATCTGGAACATTGCCAGTCTCACCCTTACCAGGTTCCTTGTCTTGATATTCTGTTCCACACACACCATTTATGAAAAAAGAAGGATCATTATTGAATATACACTAAAAATTGTGTTTTACAAATAAACTAAATAGGATTTATAGTACATTTGACTTGTTTTATTAATTTGGGAATAAAGCTCAGAGGAAGTTAAAAGCCCTCTCTGTGTTTTGTCTGCAATTGCCAACTATCTGTACTGTCAATGTTGTACTGTTGGTATTTTACAGAGTAACATTGTTGAAATTCCTCCATACATCTCATTTTTTTCCAAGAACAAAAACAAGCATAATATTCTCTTTAATCTGAGTCTCCAGTCCTTTTTTTTTCTTGGTCTGGAGTGTCCTGCTTTTTTGGTTGCAGGTGTTAATCAAATATCTACAGAGAGGATGGTTAGTGTCTGCTTTTTTAACTACTTCAAACAACAATCTTGACTTTTAAAACTGTTCAACTATAAGCACACACACAGTAACCATTTGACAACCTCAAATATTGAAATGCTCGCTACTTAGTTCAAAGGCCAGAAAAATAAACTAGCTCGTTTCATCTTGAAGACTCGGGTGATATCTCAAGGTATAACATTACAATAACCAAGGGGAGAAGGCATCTGAAATGTTCAACACACAAATGACAAAGCACTCCCTAAAAATTAAAATCATAGACGCGATATAATACGAACACTTCAGCTCAAAAATTCGGCAACTAATGTTACAACTTTAGCCCCCATAGTTTATCTCCTCTTACTACATGGCGACCTTGCTGATCTCATCTTAGAGCGCATTCATGGAAGAAAGTTTTAATTTAACTAATCAAGAGTTTGAAAATCAACATTTCTTGTAAGACTTTCAGATTTTTCAATTGCATATAGGAGATGAGGGCCGCAATCGACACAACAGAACTAACTTTTTTAGACTTCCTGTTTTCAGCCATATTTACCTACCAACTTCTGTCTCTGTTAAGAAGTAGGGACAAAGTCGTCCATCAGAATCCTCTCCTACTACACCAATGACGTGTAAGTCGTCTGTAATGATTGGGGATCCAAGGATGGAAAATTTCTCAAAAAAACATTCTTTCTTCTCAGGAGAATTAAGTTCGTGCTTTCCCTTGTCGTACGTGAATCCAAATTTCACGACATCTTTGCATCCGATGAAAGAGAGCGCCAAGACATCTTTCCACTTTTCATCATCTCCTGGAACTTTCCACTTAAAAATTGTATAATCCTCTTGTGGCGTGGGTGCACCGCTTTGTATTACTGAAATGAACGAGAAACTGCTAGTTTGCTTTACCTGTGACTTTTCGAGCCGGTACTTTGTCCGGTCGGGAGAAAATTTTTTCGAACACCGATGCAATTCTATAATTGGCTTAGCTTGATCGTGTTCATTGATTACACCTTGCCAAGTTAGCAAACATAACCTCCCTTCAACTTCAACGGCACAAGCCATTCCTCTTGTTCTGTAAATTGTAGGGATGTCTCTATGAACAACTTCCCTTACTGCAAAGATACCCTTCTTGGGGCTTGGCTTATTGGTATAATCCATCGCTTGTTGAAAGAGTCCACGCTTTTGCTCTTGTTGAGGAACGACCATGTGAAACACAAATGGTGATTGTTACAAACCTCTCGCAGAGGTTTAGACCAAGGTTTGGCTAAATCTCCGAATGTGCATACCACAGTTCCGTCCAATCACATTCCGAAGGTCTTACGCGCATAGCGGAAGTTAGCGGAAGTAGTAGTCGGTCTACAGTTACGCATGTGCGACCCATCATCCCATCCTAGCCATCCTAGCTGGTTCCTAGCTTTATTTCAGCATAATTAACCTCTTTCGGTTCCAAGTCAATCATTTCTAGGAGACCAACCCTGTGCTGTTTTTGTGCCACTGAGGAAGTCATCATGGTTCCACGTTCATTGTGTATCAAGCTCAATGCCATCTTTGCGATCGTTCTGTTGCGTTTTGAGTACGTTCTTGGAACCTGCATAGAACGCGACGAACAAATACAAAAGTATTTGTCGTCTTCTCAGCCTCCTTTTGACAATTATTTTAACATATCGAAGGCTGTTTATCCTTCTGTGGATCTCCCATCTTTGCTGATCGACATCACGGTGAAATTCCTGAAGATAGCTGGCGAAAAGTCAAATGGAAGTAACAGTTCGAGCACTTTAGAGAAAAATTTTTCTCGATCAACGACATTTGAAATCAGGAAATTTAAATGGAGTATGTCGTGCTTGTACGTCAGCGGAGGAATTAGACTGTCCTCCATGAACTGGTTTTCCTTGGGAGCGATTTATCCAAACAGAAGAGGAAGTAAATTGTACATAACATTGCCACAATTTTGCAATGGCTCTACCGTCAACAGACAAGATACAATAATATACTTCCTTTCCACGGTAAATGATCATTCTGTTCTGAGTTGCGTTTTGCTTTTTTGATTTAACCTTGTAATTGAGTTGTAGTGTGTCGTGCAATTTGACGTAAATGCCGCAATGAGACCCTAAAACCTCCACTTGCGGATTCGTGTCGTCATTGTAACTTCTATGACTTAAGTTTTTTGAAAGTAGCAATGTTGATAGACATCTGGACCCCGCAATCTCCAAAAGTCTTTCGGGGACGTTTACGAAATTTTCCTTGCTTTTAAAAGTTGTTCCGTCATATTTTACCATGATGACTTTTCACAAAAGTGATTCTCGAAAAAATCAAATAGGCTTCGTTATTTTTATGGTAAGCAGTGAACTATGTTTTTACACGTATGCTGATTGGCAAGCTCTAAGTTATTGGCGAGTCATATACCTCCGAGCTGAACGAGATGACTTCAGCGCACTGCAGTGAAACAAACAAAGATAAAACTTGCCGTTTTCATTACGATGTCTCGAAAGGAAATGTAGCGTTCAGAGAAATCTGTACTTGGAAATGAAAGTGGAGAAAGGGAAAACTTGAGACTTCTGTAAACCTAATTGAGTTAATTTTTTTTATGTAAAAAAATTACCCTATGTTGGCATGTAAAGTGGTATGGTGCTTGCACCAATCAGATTGCCATATTAGGGTATGTATCTTGCATTATGTGACAAGACCAAACAGCTGCGAAGGAGGCTACAGTAAGCGTGGCACTGATGCATTTTATTTTTGCTCAGAAGTATTAAGACAATATATAGAGAATAGACCACAAACTACCTGTGTGAGTCCAGGGTTTTTTTCTTTTCTTAAGGTGACGTAATACAATATTTTTGTTTGTTTGAATGTTATGCTCTTTTTCTGTTACAAAAATGAAAACATTAGGTACACAAAGCATCCCATCTCAACCCACTCTGCTGAAAAAGTAACTCTTGTTTGCAAACATGCAAGAGTGTTAAATCACAGGTAAACATGGATTCCCTTTTTTTTTTAACCCAATCTCAAGTGCTATTCACTTTTACAACACTGTGATGTGCTGACTTGTATGTTTTTTTATAGGTAAGGTGTACTATTAATGCAGTTAAATACTTATGCCTGCATTATAATGATTTTTAATATTGTTTTGTAGTTGCAGGATATAGCAGTCACTCCATTAGTTTCTGATCCAAGATTGAACACAGCTGAGTGTGTGATCCCAGGGCATGGGAAAGCTCCACAGTTTCCTGGGGTAAAACAGTTGCTACATGGTGTGTGTTGGAGTTTATTACCTATCAGCCTCATCATGAGTACTTTTTCATCACAATGGATAATAGTGAAGCTGCAATCATGGGACAGCAACAAGGATTATCAGAGTAAGATTGCAGCAACTATGCTTCTTTCTTTACTCCTTTTTGTAGGGGGACATTTTGTTAATATATACACATGGGTATCAGCAACTGATGTTGAAAATAAACAAGACAGCTATGTCTGGGTGTTTTTTGGATCTATATGGTTTGTGCTTCTCCGACGTATGATTTGGTGTATGTGTGTACATACCAAATGGAAGTTTTTCAATAACCTAGACTTAACTAAGGGCCATGGGATAATGCCTACCCAAAACTTTTTTTCTGGTGTTGTACTTTATCCGGCAGTATTCATAGCATGTCATCATTTGCTATGGATTTTGCTGGGTATGATAACAGAACCATTTTGGGGTATTACTGTTTTAGTGGCTGTTATTGCTCTATGTGCTACATTTTTCTTCTTAGCTTCAGAGCTGTATTGTGTTTTTCCTGAAAATTTTTGTTCCTCTGGAAAAAAGAAAGAAACATTTGTATTTTTTATGTCTTGCTTTTTGATTGTAGCCGTCCTTTTTGCATTTGTGTTGTTTATGGTAGTTCTGTTTGTGGTTGCTCAGGCTATTCTTAGTGAGAGTTTTATTTCAACTTTGATTCAGAATACTTTGACATTTGTTGTTACTGTATGGTTTGGGTATATGAATATTCTTAAGAAATCAAATAAGGGAGTTAAAGGAGAAGGTAATAAAGGGCCTGCAAGAGAGGAGGAAGTACTCATGCAGGAACAGTTAAATACATCTTGAAATGGCAGAAAATCCCATGCAGACAAGCATCCTTTCCTACTCGCTTTATACTTCAGAAACTGATGATAATCACAGGTAGTTAGCAGACTTAACCCATACCCTTATCACTCTTTGTTGTCATATTTACTTTGGTACCCCTCCCTCAACACCACCTAATATTTATGTAATAATTTTATATTTAGAAGAACCGTTGTTTTTATCGCTTACTCATGATTGTAAAACAGTGGATCAATCACTGTAGAATCACTGTCAGTTTATTTTAAGTCTATTAATATATAAAAGTCATAAAATTGTGAAATTCATGAACTGTCTTAGGTTTTAGATTGTAACTAATCAATTTTTCTACCCACTATTAAAGAAAGATAAACGAATACAAGAGCCTATTTTATCAACATTCGCCCGCCGCAGTATAACGGTTTGTTTCAAAAATATTATTTTTTAGTATATTATATATTATTACTAAAACAGTGGATAGCCGTGAAGGCGCGCTCTGATTGGCTGTTCAAACTCCGAATATCCTTTGCTTTTCATCTTCGAGTAACTCGCGCGGGATTTGCGCCCGAAAATATTCTAATCGTTCAAGGAATAAAAGAGGTTAAATCGTCTTTTGTGGCATATTATCTCAGTCTTTGAGTATGTAGTGTCCGTGGCCGGGGATGAAAATTTACACAACCGCTTCGCGGCTCGGTAAATAATATCCACCACTAGCCAACGCGGCTGATGTCAAATGTAAGGTGTTACGGGTAAGCTTCAATCACTTTTAAATAAAGTCAGAAATCAGTGTCAGGATTTCTTTTGAAAAAATCAATGACAGTCGAGTCCAAATAACTCGAACCATTAAGGAAAATTGGAAAAGGTTCGAGAAATAAGGGAAAAACGGTGTTTTTTTTTTCAATTCAGACACTGCACATTTCAATCAAATTTAATTATAGAGAAGTTGAGTGACGGTGGAACACTAAGTAACTGCAGAAATCACAAAGTAACGTAAATGTTTGGACCGCAATACAATGTTTGTTTTGAGTTGTCTCGTATTGACATGCACAGAAGTGTTTCGACGTGGTTCGTCTCATCGAGGGTATAAACGTTGCAGCGAATGATCTGAAGGGAAACAAAAACTGCCTGAAGTTAGCGGGAGGTTCGAGTTAATGAGGATTTTCGTTACTTAGGGTAGATTTGCAGTAAATGTACGACGGAAATCGAGGGAAAAGCGATTTTGGTTCGAATTAGCGTACTGAGTAACAAGGGTTTGAGTTATCGGGATTCCCCTGTAGTTTCATCGATCTCCTCAATTAAGCATCTCCCTTAAAAAAGAGCGCCCCCCCCTCGCCCTTTTCCCCTTTTAGTCGAAATTTTAAATGAGCGTCCGGGCTCTTATTCAAGGAAAGACAGTATTCAAAATCAGTCGCACGTGAAAAAAAACATATGATTACTTATTAAAATATACATGCCAAAATTTGACGCTGTTTTCCTCATAGCCGTATTTATAGTTCACTGGTGCAGCCGCTTGCTTTGTGTTGTTACCGGAGTCGTCGGAATTTTTAGGCAAGAATTTGCTTTGAGCTTTTAAACTTTCTGTAAGGAATAACTAAGTGTTTGGACTCTTCCTCAGTTAGAATTCGCTTAATAGCAGTAACCATTACACAAAATAATTGAATCTCCGTCTTTCTTACGAACTGTGGCGTAAACTCCGAGGGAGTTTTTTTTCCAGGGCCAGCGGTTCCTCCGTTTCATTACCTTTGCAATATATATCCATTTTTGGTGCCCAAGACGTCCAGATATTTAACCAGTTTTTTGTGCTTTGTTGGGTGTTTCATTCTTAGCACTCTCCTTCAAATCCGAATTAAAACTTTCAACTTGTTACTTTCTCCTAACCTGTCCGCCATTTTGCTTATTTGTGCTTCCGCGACTTTCCTGCTGATCAATCTTGTTTCAACTTTCTCCACTCAACTTCAACTTTTTTACAATCAATTTCAGCTTTCTGCATTATATGGTCTCTGTATGGGATAAATTGAAGTGTTCCCAGTCATTGGCATGCTGATATGTTTGCATGCATATTACCGGTATTACTTTGGAAACGAATAACCTCGTTGAAAGGGCTACTTTGAAGAGTTTGCTGTTGTTATTATTATATTAACGTACATGAGAAATTACGTGCTCCTGATTGGCTGAAAACGACAGCATTCTCATGTAACACGAATGCAAAGTTGTAACACTGGTGTAAATTACAAACAGCGCGCGCACGCTTTTAAAATTTTGTCTGTCTTGACTTGATGCGATGCTTTTTCATGTACATTATTAACAAGAGATAACATGATTTCTCTAGAAATTTGGTACAATAAGCACTTGTAAATTGCCCTAATAAGACTACATCTACAAATTGCACTTGCCCTACGGGCTCGTGCAATTTTTTTGTCTTGGAAAACATTAACTCGTGCTTAATACACCAAATCATATAAAGTACAATTTCCTCGATCGTGATTGGTTTTAAAATACTACTACTTTCCACTAATTCACTTGCCAAGTTGTTAACAGACAGTTTGTTATCGGACAGTTTAATGAGCCAATCACTTTCACAGTTGTAGTTTAAATCAACAAATCACATGCAAAGTTGTAGTTTCAATCACCATAGATAACAGTGTACAGACTCCTATATTAGGGCTTTCTTCAAAATGGAGAATTTTTTCTCCTGAAAATGACGATATTTTAGAATAAAACATTGATTTTGTTTACTGTGGCGCAAATGAGTTTGGTATTATTCGCATGATTACAGACCGAATTGAACTCCACTCAATCCTATTACCAGTACCATGACAAATTGCTCCCAAAATCATGTTATTACCTCTACAAACTGCTCAAGTTTTCGTTTTGCGTTGATGTACGACTTGAATAAAAATCCCAATTCCACTCTCAAGAGGCGTAGAAGATTTATTTTGTTGATCGTGTGTAGTATCTTCACGTCGCCAAAAACAAACAAACAAACAAACAAACAAACAGAAAAGAAAAAAGACCGAGAACAAATACAAAGCATGTTGACCGAGAAAAGAAGCTCAAACTTCATCGTGAACTGATTCCGAAAATTCGCTAACGATTCCTATTCTTTCTTCATCACAAGAAAAAAAAGCAACCCCCCTTAAGTTCTTTTCTTGTCATTGTTGACACTTGCCCCTTAGGGAAGGGTTCCACAGCAGCTTTAGAAAACTTAACAAATTTATTCTTTTCCCTTTTTTTCACTGACTATTTTCGCAAAAAGAAAAAAAAAAGAAAGAAAAAACAGCGCTTAAGCAGCACGTAACATCATTCCTATCCTTACTATTGACAATATCGAAGATACGCTTCTCGGGTCCCGGATGTAAATTTGGATCGAATTTTACGATTGCTATATTTTCCAGTGAAACGCTTGTGTCGATATAATAATAATTTTGATTATTGTTTTATAGTTGCAGAATATAGCAGTTAGTCCATTCGTTTTTGATCCAAGTCGGAACACGGTTGAGTGCGTCATTTCAGTTAATGATCATGAGGAGGCTCCACATTTTTCTGGGCTCAGGAAACTATTGCACTGTTTGTGCTGGAGTTTACTTTATGCAAGCCTTTTGATGGGTACTTTTACATCACAGTGGGTGATAAAGAAACTAAGGGCATGGACCAGAGAGGAAATTTGGAACAAGACTGCAGCGATGATGTTTTTATCTGCAATTCTCTTTTTTAGGGAGGACTTACTTTAAACATTTATGCATTGATAATAACTAAAGATTTATATGTCAGAGTGTTTTGGGGGTTTACATTCTTTGTGCTTCTCCGACTGGTATGTTGGTGTACACACGAGAAATTGCAATATTTTTGAATGCCGGAAGACAATTAAACTTTGCTTTACCCAAGGTCATGGATATTTGACTAGTGAAAACCTTTGTTCCTGTGTTTTTCTTTATCCAGCAATATTCATGGCATGTCATCACTTGCTATGGATTTTGATTGGTGTAATAACAGAACTGTTTTGGTGTTTTACAATTTTAGTGGCTGTTATTGCTGTTTGCGCAATCTTTTTCTTCCTGGTTTCCGAGCTCTTTGATGTTTTTCCCGCACCTAAAAATTTTGAACCATCAGAACAGCCCGATAGCGACCAAAAGATGGATATGATTATCATGTCTTGCATTGTTTCCTTTGCTGTTCTGTCTGCGTTTGTGTTGTTGTTTCTAGTTTTGTTTGCAGTTGCACAGGTTTTTTCTTAGCAAAAGTTTGATTGCTACGCTGGTTCAAAATGCGTTGTCGTTTGTTGTAACTGCATGGTTTGAATATTCAAGGTTCAAAGGAGATAATCAGAGAGTAGCTGAAACAACAAACAACGGTGTGAGGATCAGTAGAGGACGGCATCTGCATGCCTGCTCAGGGAGACGCAGGGCCCAGTACCTAGCGCGCTGGACTCTGGATGGAAATGACTAGGTCTGTGCCCTGACTTTCAGTGCCTCTCTCCGATAAGGTGTGCAAAATGAGCACAAACCAACTGCAAGGAAACCTGAAAAAATGAAGGGGGGATAACTTTCGATGGGCTATCATCCTATCAAGACCAGAATCTCATCTTGGTCGCTCAATGCTTCTGGAACTAATGATAAGCACAGCTAGTTAGCTGACGTGAATCAAACCCTTGTCACTCTTTATTCATTAGTAAACAGGATTCAAAATAGTTTGTAAAAAAAAATCTACTCGTGCCCTCCTTCTTCATCACTATCTAACTTTTAAAAGAGTAATGAAGAAACTTTATTTAAGCAGCTAAATCATGATTGTAAAACTGTACATCAATCACCGCAAAGTTCTCAAGTGACACCCTAACTTTCAGTTACTTTCTATAAGTTGTAAGTTTAATATAACATTGATTCATGAACTACTTTTAATTTTTTAGATCGTAACTATAATCAATTTGTATCGATAATAAAAGAAAGATACAACTGAATGAAAAGGATTTTCGTTATCAGCAGTCGCCTGACCTAAAGCTTAACAGGTTTGTTTCACAAATTAATGGAAGGTTTGTATTAATAGAATTCTTCTTTGCTGAGTCAAATCAAAACAGTTAAAGTGGGATTTTCTTCTTAAAAATATTCAATTGTGAACACAAGGAAAATTAATTTCATTCCCATGTGTTTTCGATGAATGAAAGAAATTTTCGACGGGACTATTTAACCCTCTCATTTCCCACACAATATGCCTCGAAATTTGATCCTTGCATCATGAATGATGACATGACTTTAACTTTTTTTCTAGAGGTAGAGACAAACTCTCTTAACCACTGCCTTTAAACACGATGATAGATGGGCTACGTTCATTCATAAAGTATTCAAAGTGTGGGCTTGGGCTGCCTGTGCATTGCCA